TTTGTTTTTACACAAGCATCCGCAATGTTATAGTGTCCACGAGCAAACGATTATTACCTACGTAAGTACCTATTTTTATCATTAGACTATTAATTTAATAATTTATATATACATTTTTAATTATTATTCTTAATATTAGATTAAGTATTTATATAACATATTTCATACTTATTATTATTGCTATCACAAAATTGTGTTTGTCAAGTTTAGTCAACTTAGCGTAAATCAATATAAATTTGTACAAATTATTTGTTGGGAATGGGTACTGACAGGGCTGGCGAAAGCTAAGGGCGACCTGGGCAATCGCCCAGGACACCAATCACTAAGGGGCGCTAGTGTGCTACACAGGAAATAATAGGACTTAAATATTTTTTTATCACAATAAATTTTAAATCAATAACAATAAAAAAAGTTGTCTTGTTAATTACTTATTAGTAATAATTATTATTAGTATGTAGAAATAATAATGCCATTTATCGAGCTATAATATTTATTCAAGTCACTTGGTTCGCCTACTCACCTAATCAGTTGTTAAATACTTATCTAAAACGTAAAATCAAACGTGCAGTCGGAGAGTGCTAAAAATATTTTATTTATCGATAAACGACGGACGATAATGAATAACGATTAATGGGCTAGTTACAGTGCTTGTTCAAATGTCTATAATCATTTTAACTTCAAAATTCTGACTGTTAAGACGGAACGAAAATAAGTTCTAACAACATATTTTAAGTTTATTCATATTAATATATTATATTATATTAAATAACTTTCACATTATTACATATTAGGTATATATTTATAATAGATATTTACACAATTACTATTTTTAGCTTCGATGCGAAGCGGAGAAGGTATTAATTTTACTATGATGTGTTTTTTTTTTTTTTTATGTCTGTTGCCACTTTTTCTCAGCTCTCACTGGACCGATTTCTTTGAAAAATACGTCAAAAGATCACAAATCGTATCTAGTTGAAGACATTACCCTTAAAAATTGAAAAAATTTCCCTCGTTCCCCGTAAATGGGGGAAATATCCAAAAAAATTACAAATTTAAAAATCGCTAATTTTCGAAATTTTTTCACTTTTTTTTCTTAAAACTTCCATAACTTTTTGAAAAATCAACAAATCAACATAATTTTTTTTTATACTAAAACCTTAGATATTTACCTTTCATTTGATATCATTTTTTTGAAAATCTATCACTTAACCTGCTCATTAGGGGGGATTTAAAATAGCAACTTTTTTACAAAAATTAACTTTTTCAACTTAATTTTTGAAAATGTTCCGGAAATACTGCGTCCTTTAAACATATATCAAATTAAAGCTTATTTTATGTACTATAAAATGAAAAAAAAAAATTTGTCCCGACACTTTTTTTTCTACATTTAAACGGCTGCCGTAGTTAAAAAAACACTATTTTTGTGTTAAAATTTTCGATTTTCGATTTTTAATTTTCAACTTAAAAATGCTATAACTTTTTGAAAAATGTATATATCAGCACAATTTTTGTTTTCTAAATACATTATAAGTACATCTTTCATTTGACATACTTTTTATTAAAATTGGACAATTTCCCCTTATATAGGACGCGTTCAAATGTTGAAATATTGTAAAAAATATAGAACTTTTTCAACTTAACTTTTGAAAGTGTTCCGGAAATACTGCGTCCTTTAAACATATATAAAATTAAAGCTTATTATATGTACTATAAAATAAAAAAAAAAAATTTGTCCCGACGATCTATCTTCTATGTGCAAATGGCTGTCGAAAATTAAAAAAAAATGTAATGTTTGCGATAAATATTACCTTTTATCGGAATGTTTTTTGTGCTTAAAACTGTCATAACTTTTTCAAAAATTAACAAATAAAAATAATATTTTCTTGTATTGAAACCTTAGATATTTCCCTTTCATTTGATATAATTTTTTTTGAAAATCTAACACTTATTCTGTTCACTGGGGGGATTTAAAATAGTAACTTTTTTACAAAAATGAACTTTTTCAACTTAATTTTTGAAAATGTTCCGGAAATACTGCGTCCTTCAAACATATATAAAATTAAAGCTTATTTTATGTACTACAAAATGAAAAAAAAAAATTTGTCCCGACGACCTATCTTTTATACGCAAATGGCTGCCGTATTCAAAAATATGCTATTTTTGTATTCAAATTATGGGTTTTGTATTTTATTTTAATAGAAGTTGATGTTAATTTTGCAATTATCCATCAATTTTTTAAAATTAAACACTATCTACAGATTTGCATCGAAGCGTTTCTTATGATAGTGATTTTAATCACTGTCAGATTAAATCTATCTGGACCCAACTATGCAATATCTCCACTATGCCGCGACCCCACTGTGCTACCGTTTTTTTTTTTAATGTGACGCCTACATATTAGATTAGTGATTGATATTTAATTATAATTATTAATTTCAAATTTGTTAGTTTAAAACACGTTTTTATCATGTCGTCAAAAAAAGAAAACTTTCTAGATGTCAGAATAGAAAACGCAGCACTAAAATTGAGTTAGAACTTTAAAACAATGCAGCAGTGATGAATAAATTTTTTAAACCATACAATAATCCTATTTCGAACTTAACTTCTTTCTCATTGATTGCGAATAGTAGTATGAGTAGTATGGATGTGAAAGAAGATAATTCTAAAAAACATGACGTTTTAAATGAAACTATCAATATACCCGTATTAGATAAAGATGTTCAAAATTCTGAAGTTGTGAATCAAGTTGATCTATTTGACTTAGCTTTATGGCCTGATGAAATTTAGAATAATTTTATAGATACAGTTATAAAGATAGGACCTGCTAAAATTTATGATGTCTTTCCCAAAAACGAAAATAATCGTCATTTTTCCAAAAACTTTCAAATAATAAAAGTAGATAACAATCAAAGTATCTGTAGACGCTGACTTGTGTACTCAAAAAGTTCCTACCGGGCATTTTGTTTTTGCTTAAACTTTTTAAATCACACAATAGTACACTGGGTACAACTGGGAGTAATGATTGGAAACATATGACAACCACACTAAAATCTCACGAAGTCTCCAGATTATTTTATTGCTTATAAGAAATGGCACGAATGTGCATTGCGATTGAACCTTGACAGATGTATTGATAACGATTTATAACGAGTAATAAGTTCAGAGTTTGATCATTGGAAAAATATTTTAAAGAGATTATTGTCAATTACTTTATACTTATCAAGTCACAATTTGGCCTTCAGATGATCTTCTGACAAACTGTTTGTACAAAAAAATGGTAACTTTTTAGGACTAGTAGAACTTTTAGGAAATTATGATAATGTCATGAAAGATCATCTTCACCAAGTAACTGCTAAACAACTAAAACAACATTATTGTAGTAGACATTCAAAATGAGCTTATACATTTAATGGCTACCAAAGTGTTGAAAACTATCGAGCAACGAGTAAAGAAAGCAAAATATTTTTCTGTAATATTAGATTGCACACCTGATATCATTCATTCTGAAAAAATGTCGTTTACAATAAGATTCGTTGATGAAACTGATGGAATTATTCGAACTGCTGAATATTTTATTGGTTTTATAACAAGTGATGAATCTATTGGAGAAAGTCTAACCGAATTATTGCTAAAAACATTAAAAGAAAACCAACTTGATATTATGAATTGTCGGGGTAGGGGCACTACGTAAACATGTACAAGTGCCAAAGAAATTTTTAAGAGAGAATTTTTCTATCCTCTCATAGACACAGTCAGAACATCTATTAAAGAATCATTAGAAAATCATAAACAACTTTGGGGATTTCTGTACAATCTAAAAAATTTGCCTTTTTCTGAACATCTTATGAAGTGTTGTAAAGATCTACAAATTGCTCTCTCAGAAGGAGACAGTTCTGACATAAATGCAATAGAACTTTACAACGAACTAATACATTTAAATAAAAAAATGGTTATTATTAAATAGGTTATTTTTTAAGATTATTGTGTAAAAAAAAACAATATTATTATAGAAGGGCGCCTAATGGTAATTTCGCCCAGGGCGCTAGTATGAATAGCCCCGGCCCTGGGTACTGATTGGTTGCCTGTATAAATTATTTGCGTTTATTTATAACGTTTATGCGTTTAAATTACAAGCATAATGAAAATATTTTTTTGTATCAATTAATAATTTTGATTGTGTTTTATGATTTTGTGTTTTACATTTTCATTGATTTTATTAGATTATTCGAATAATGTTTTAAATGGATGGAAGGAAAAGGTTGAGCGGCTCTTAATACAAAAAATTAGCTAAAGAAAAATCTAAACGCTAAGAGGAAGTGCTGTAGAAAGTACCCAAGTTGGTAACTTTTTTTAAAATGAGAACAACTGATCTGTCTAGTGCTCCGTCAGGGTCAACTGAAGCACTTACACCTACATCACTAATCGAAGAACTTGAAAAATCCGATGAAAATAATGACGATCCTGCTAGTGGGTTATAAATGATTATTTTCGTGACTATATTGCAAAACACGGTTGTAACCAGAATAAAAATGCAGATTTCAAGCTTTCCAGACGAAAGTATGTGAATGAGAATCAATATAGACCTATGTCAGCTTCTTTATTTCAAAGAAAAATTCATCATAATGAAATTTCCAATAGTTTATGGCTTATGTACTCGGAAAGCAAGAAATCTGTTTTTTGTGGCCCTTATTTGCTTTTTGGTTGTTATGGACAAAATTCTTTTTGTGATTCGAATGGATTCAATGATTGGAAGCACGCCACTGTTTGTATTGGACAACATGAAAATACACAAAACCTTGAAAAATGTATTTTAAGTTTGCAAGGCAGAGCTTCTGTTTTAGGAAAAATTAATCATGACTGTCTAACTTGATAAGGAAATATCATATTGGCGAGAAGTTATAAAAATAGTGGTTGCGACTGTCAAAACATTGGTTTCTCGTGGACTGCCATTTAGGGGTGATTAAGAGAAAATCGGCTTAAAAAATAATAGAAATTTTTTAATGCTCTTCGAATTTCTTTCTGATCCATTTATAAATGAACATATTAAAAATTATGCAAACAAAGGTAGTGACTCAACGAGCTATTTGTCAAAAATAATTTATGAAGAAGTGATTGAACTTATGGCAAAAAAAGTTAGGGAGACAATTATTGTAGAGGTGAAAAAAGCGAAATATTACTGTATAATTGTTGATTATACACCTGATATTTCTCACGTAGATCAGATTGATTTTATTTTAAGATACGTACTACCAAATGGTGTAGCAGCTGAACGTTTTGTAAAATTACTCGATAACGTTGGATATAAAGGTACAGATATGTATAATGCTGTGAAAGAAACTCTAGAATCCTTGCAAATAAATATTAATGACTTGAGAGGTCAGTCATACGACAATGTTGCAAATATAAGTGACAATTACAAGATGCTTCAAGCCCTTATAAAAAAAGATAACCCTCTGGCACAGTTTACACCGTGTGCTGGACATGGATTAAATACAGTGGACACACATGCTGCTGAGTCCTAACCTAAGGCAGTTTCATTTTTTGATTTAAATAAAAAAAATTAGCAAGAAATATATGGTGCTTTGAAATCAATTGAAGAGAATCTGTTGAAAAAACCAGCAACTAAGAACACAGCGAACGGTATTAGAAGAATGCTGTAACATTTAGAAACTTCTATTATGGTGAATGTATTGAATGTTATACTCGATCGATTCAATGCTGTGTCGCAAAAGATTCAAAGCGTCAGCACAAGTATGAGGGAAGTGTTTGATCTGTTGAGATATAGTTGAATAAGAGTTCAACTTGAAAATAAGTATGAGCTATACCAAGACATTGTTGAGAAATTTAGAGCGCTTTTAAGATTTGGCGAATTAGATGAGATTGATCTCAGAGAAAAAGCTGAAGTTTTACAAAATTATTTTCCAGATGATTTAGAGTCGTCATTTGCAGATGAGTTAATTAATTTTAAATTATACTGCAAAAATAAAGGTATTGAGAAAGATTCCCCGTTAAAACTACTACAACACATACGTGAATACGATCTGACATCTGTATTTCTGAACATAGACATCTCCTATAGATTATTCAATTGCATACCTGTTACAAATTGCAGTGCCGACCGTAGCTTTTCGTGTTTAAAACGTATAGAAAATTGTTTAAGGTTGACGACATAAGAAACACAATTAAATAGTTTGATGATGCTTCTCAACATTGAGGCTGTAATATTGACAGCCCTAAATTTCGACGATCTTATTAACACCTTTGCCCAACAAAGGCACGAAGAAAGTTTTTTTAAAGTACCTACTATATGTTTCGAATTATGTATTATTTTATTTGTATTTTAAAATTATATCTTCAGTTTTAAAAGTACCTGATTTAACAAGTTTTTAATTGTGCACTGAAATAACACTTATACGAACTCATATTGATTTTAAAAAAATGGTTGTGTGATTTTGAAGCAGCATTTTCCTTATAGCCCAGGGCGGCTGAAAAGGTAAATCTGGCACTGTGTGTCTTCCAAGATACTTTATACTAAACTATCCCTTTTTCCTATAAACAGTCATTATTAATATCCTGATTCTTAAAAAATCAATGAAGTATAGTCGTTAAAAAGAAAAAATACCACTTCTTAAGCATAAGTATTAGAAAGTTATATTATAGTTCATTATAATTATAATTTCATATTTGCTACAAATTTGAATTTTTTTTTATTCTGTAGTTATTGAAATAGTTTAGTGTGATAATTAGTTTTGAACTAAACTGTTTCCTATCTGTTCTCTGGTACAAGATAGGGACGAATTACTTTCGGAGGCACGGAACTGTCACTAAACAACTTCTCAGGGACACTAAGGTCATACTCCAGGTCCGAATAAACAGTAAACGGTAAACGAGTAAACAGTGTGCTCAATAAGGACATTTTACATGTTGAGATGGGACAACACATACAATTATTACTTTATTTAATAGTAAAAAATAAAACATTAGTGATTTGAAGTCTTCAAAAAAATCGAGGATTTTTAGGATCAGTTCCTAAAGTAAATACAGCCTAGCTAGCTATTTCTCGTTAGTCCCATTGAGTATATGGGATCTTTAATGCTTGCCAACGGTAGTTTATGGCATAGACTACCGTTGGCAAGCATTAAGGGTTATCACCTGAATAGAAAACTGAAACAGAAATTAATCATGTTTTTAAAATCCTAAACAAGTTAATCATTCTTTAAAACCAAGATTTAAAATTTACTTAACATTAATATTAATTCTAACTTAATCTAATTATAAAATACCAATTTAATGAAAATGTGATAAAAAAATTAATCTTATTATAAATGTTTTAAGTGTTATATAATTGTTTTTATACAAAGAAAAATGAAGTTTTTATTAAATAAAGTTAAAAAAGAAATATTGAGTCTATTTTTTTATGTTTTTTAGTTAGGCCCAAATGATGCACATAAGTTATTTTTTATTTTATTTTCGTTTTAAAGGTAGTAAAGACAGAGTTATGCCGAAGTTAAAAATATGTAGAGTAGGATAAATTTTATTATTACCAAATTAATATTTTTTGAAACTGAACAAACTTTTTTAAAAATTATTTTTTGATAGTATTCCAGATAGCAACTTTAAAAAATAATTTTATAAAAACATTTTTTTAACATATGTTTAACATTATAAAAATATTATTTAAAACAAAGACTATCTGGGATCTTCTAATATTAAAAAATTACCATCTAAAACAATTAAATTTTATCATGTGGGTAGTGTGACACCCCTCACTTCCTAGCTAAACAGCACTAACTATAGAAACGAAAATAAAAAAACAAAAAATATTGATATAATTTTAGTTTTTTGAACATGAAAATACATTCTTTTTTTTAATTCCATGACGAACCTCTTAATTTTTATGACAAATGTTTATTAATTACGAAATAATTATTATATTTTTTTATAATAAAAATATTAGTTAAAATTAAATCAATGTTTACAGAGTATTTAATTTGTTTTCAAATGACTGAAGTGATGCAGTTATCATTGGTATAGACTGCCTTCGCTTACGATTGTGAATTCTTGGATTAGAATTAATTTCTACTATTTGAGATTTGGCCATTTCTCTAGTAAATACATCCATATCACCATATACCCAATCTTTAATGAATTTTTTCCATGCTAGTAATAAGGTGACGATAATTATTTGATAGTAGAACAGAACCACATATGGAATACTCTTGAGCTGTTTATCAATACCTACTAAATACTGACACATAGCAAATAGACCAACAGAGCAGCAAACATGTATAATAAATCCCAGAAGGCGTTTCAATATTTTTCGCATTTTAGTAGTTCTCTAAAATTGAAAAATATTTCAATAACAATTTAAAATAATAAATACTATCCTTATGAAATTTTAATAAAATCAACCTTAGAATAGATAACATAAATAAGAAATAAAAATAAAAATTATATAAGTATTTCAGATGTTAAACATATATATATATATAATATTACCTTGTAATATTCATATATATGATCTAGATTTAATTGATAACTTTTGTAACTTTCGATGCAATTAACATTTTATGGTGATTTAGAAAATAATAATTTATTCTTTCTTAAAATATTATGTTAAAATAATATTTTTATTTTATTTTGATGGAAGCGAGATTCGCAAACAAATTTTATTAAAACAAACCCGTTTTATAAAATCCAACCCACTACCACACAACTAAATATTTAACAGTAGTCTTTTAATGATAAAGCGAATATATCTATCTTCATTTACACCTTTAGTTAATTATAGTTTCTAATAAACATTGTGATGAAGAACAAACAGACAGAAACGAAAACGACGGCACCTGCAGAGATTTGAGTACCCGGTATATACTGGGAAAAAGCCAAAAATCAATGCAATCCGAACGCCGTTCGTCAACCTGTCTCTAAACCACAAAACACCAACAAACCAAAGGGACCAAATCCAAAAGGCTCCCTTCCAAATGAATTACCTAAACCAACTCGACTACATGACGCAAGTCATGTGAGACCCACAGACACGAACCCTTGTGACAGTTCATATTTTGCAAACAATACATCAGTTAGAGAGGTGACTCCACGGCTAACTTTTACGCCGTCAGCTCCTGCGTCGATCGATATTGCACGACAAATATACACAGAGCTCGTTACCGATAATCCCGCTCTTACTTAAGTTATTTTACCTGAGTATTTGGACTATTACACTATTGCGATGCTTTGACAACGCATAGTCAACTTAAAGCAAAAAAAATTCGCAACCAATTACTCCAGCGGAGGAATCGTAAATAATACTGATATAGACGACAAACTTTAACATTCCCGAACTGATCCTACTACAACTGAGGCAGCTGAGAAACGTCATCACTACAACTAAACATCATCTCTATCCAGAGTTCCCACCCCTACCAGTAGAAACCATTGCCAATTATGGTAGCTACAACTCTTACTCTTGATCAAACCGGGCTTAAACGTGGACAACAATATTCACAACCTATATGAAGAGATACCATGCTTAGGAATACTTTCCAAAACAGTGATGAACTCTATCAGCAATGCTTGTCCGGGTGTTTACCAATCCCGACTTACATACAGAGGCTTTAGCTTTTGATTGCGCCATTACAGAAAACGAATTTCCCTCATATCCTGTTAATACGTGTTCAATTTCTTATTCCTTCACGCAATTTCTAACGTATTAGCTGGAACGAAGACCTTTAAAATTACACCAGTCGTATTTACAACTCTCAATGAGGGAGGAACGCAGTCTCAAACCATAATATCTCGTCCAATAACACAACTAGGTCTTACTAATTTAGGTGGTGAACAAAATGCTACGTCATTGAGCAGCGGTTCACTATCGAAATTCGGCAGCGCCATTTTCTTTGACGCCCAATTAATGAAACAGTCCGCTCAATTTGTTGATTTAACATGGTGTCTTATTAGATTTATTATTAGTCTTATCCTCATCGAGTGTATTGTTAACTGAAATGATAGACGCAATTTGCCAATGCAACACCAACAACACATCCGCTCCCCTCTCCGTCGAGAAAGTCCGCTGATTGTTAGCCAATTGACGGGCACGGTGGTCCTTCCGGCGGACCCTCTACCAAACGTACTACGCTCGGCGAAGGATGCTGCACGTGCCCCTCTACCAGTGGCACTGCGTAACCCAGTCCTCACCTCCACTGCATTAGCCACAACAGCACCGACTACAATAACAACGGAAACACCAACAACATCAACAGCAGCAGTAATTGCATCAACGTTTTTCACCGTAGTCGGGGGTATATGTGGATGGTATACTGGTGGCCCCCTCCACCGTCAACGCCAGCTGTGTCAACTCCAAAGGTATTTGACACGGCCACGGCATTGTCACCCGTTTTACATTACGTGGTTGTGCCAACTCCTTCTCAGCCACCGCCCCACTGTAAATCGGACCGTTACACACACGCGTTATCATCGTGCTATAAAGTCCAAAAAATGTCTAGCGTCAAATGCCTGCCTCAATAATATGCTAAGCAGTCATCTTCGTGATACCGAACTATACGAATTGCTCCGAAAGTGCCGCTCGACGCACTATGTCTACGTAACATGTTATTAACACTGTGAATTTGGCTAATGTAAAATCACTTGTCATATCCGCTTTGGGTTATTCTTTGTTTTTATTATTTTTTTTTCGCAATAAAAAATTTAATATACAGGGTGTTCAGTAAGTCAGGAAACGGGTTTCTATTGTTCTCATTGTTACAAACAATAGATACCCGTTTCCTGACTTACTGAACACCCTGTATAATGCAGGTAGAGTATGCATTATAAAAATACACCAGTATACCTGCATAATACGTTCTGTACCTAACCTACATATCCATGTATTACAATACTTGTAACTCAATAATTACTCATCTTAAAATTGAATAGCAGAATAGAAAAAGGTAACAGTTCACTCTGTATATGGATTTCCACTTTAAAATTTTATTGACTATTATAAAATGGACTTTATTACATAAAGTAATAGATGGAGAAAACTCTACGCAGAAATCCTCGAGATATACAAGAACAAAAAAAGTAAAATTTAAAAAAAATTTTCCTTTGATTACATCTTTGATAATGATACATAATGTAGTGAAACGTACGAGGTTTAGAAGAGTACTTAAGAAAAAGTTTTTTAAGTTGAGTTTTAAATATTCATTATTATTTAAAATTTAAACCTCGATTACTAGCATGGCTACTTGAAAGTACCTCATCATCTTGCGCTCTTATTTTATCTTAAATTTCATAAAAAATATAAGAAATATATAATTACTCCATTATACGACGTTTCCAAGCAAAAAAGTCATAGACAACATTTTATCAATAGAAAGTTACGAATGTTTTGGCTAAAACGCCACGACTTTCTGTCAATGAAGCCAATTATTTTGACATTTTTTAAAATTAAACAGAACGATCATTTATTTCGGAAAGTACAATGTGGACTCGAGCAGATGTCTTTAAAGTGTGTCAGTATGTCACTGTTAAACAATGCAACTTGTAAACACACACATTAACGTTGATAGAAGGTCGATAAAAACTAAAAAAAATGTGTTAGTTCCTATCGAAAAGATGAAACGTAATTATTTTCGATTTTCTAAAATAAATAGACTTCTGTAAAAGTTGTTTTCGAAAAATAATTGTATTTTGATGATATTGTACAACATTTAAGTATATTCTATAACTTTATTATCTTAAGTATAATCATCTTAGGAACAACGTTTATTAAACACAAAAATATAGTTTTTTAATTTTGGTAAAACAAATAAGATGTAAAGATGTAATTATAAAAATATAATTGTTATTAATTATGAAAGTATCTAAATGCAAGTAATACAAATAACTAGCGTTTATAATTTAACATTTTAATTTTAACAATTTTAATTAAAATAATTTTCTTTATTATTTAATTTTAACATAAATATAATTTGACAAGTGTAAAATGATGAAATTTTTAATATTCATTCCAATTTAAAACTAGTTGAATTGATATAGTTGTATGATGTTATTAATAATTTTTTAATTTATAGAATTGATAATTTTCATTGTCAGGTAAATCAACATGCTTAAAATCTTCATACTTAACAAAATATCGTAGAAAATAAAACAATTTAATAATTATATTTAATATGACGAAAACTTTAGAATTTTATTGTTTTTATTAGGATAGTAATTGAGCTCTTGAAGTTCTATGTCGTTCCCACGGTCTGCATCTGAATAAATTTGCTGTTTAGTCACATCAAAAAGCATCGGAATTACCTTTTTTTGTTGTTTATTTTTATAGTTAACATAACGTAAACATCTTGAAAAAGATCCAAACATCTAAAAAAAAACATTATAATTTATAGGAATTCTTTCGAGTTTGTAAAAAGAAAGAATAGAAGTATTTTAATAAAATATTCTAATAGTAATAGTAGTATATAAATAAAGGGTAGTACAAACTCAAAGAATGCTGCCAATGTCAAAAAATTTTTGGCGATTCGTTGCCTATCGATACTAATTAATTAACGTCATTAGAGGAGAACGCTGCGGTCGTCGTAAACTCCCTCCCCCTAAAATGTCATTTTGACGTTAGTAAACTACATGGACGTCGAAGACGTACAGATATTGGCGTCACAATAGCATATACAAAAGCTGTAAAAAAAAATTTCAAGAACAAATATGGTCTAACGGTGGAATATCTAATAGTAGACGTCATACCCACAAATTTGTTACAGGATAACCCAATATTCACGAGTTACCTGTACAGAGTGTAAAAATGTTTAGCAGAAAAAAATATTTTAAAAAGTGGCTTAAGCGGTCCCGACGGATCACATTCTGTAATTAACGTGTGTATTTAAACTATCAATGCAACTGAGACAGTCAATGACCATAAACTATAATTTTGACAATATCGTTTGTCTTAAATACCCCACAGTCAAATGTAAATTTTTGTAATTGTATGCGATTTATGTTTGCATACAGTTTACATTAATGGTGACGATGATGATCATAAAACAATCTTATGTGACCATTTGTCTTTTACTCTTATTCTAAACTCTAGATTTTAAGATTAACAATATTTTTTGATTGATATTATTATTGAAAGTATTAATTCACTACAATTTTTTTCTGACTTAAAAATTATAGCAAGATATTCGTGAGACCTCATTAAGCGATTGATCTTGTTTACAGGTACAATTTAATTATGTCGAATAAACAGAACGAATGTTCTTTACTGTGAGTAAATTATAATCTCAAATAGAAAACATAATTGATGAATGATAGTAATAATAAAATTTTATCCAATAGTTTTTAGTTTACTGTCGATTTTTTTTTTTTTTAAGTAAGATCACAATCTTATCTTTTAATGTACCTTTATAATAATTCATTTGAATAGTCGTATAATATGACAAACATTAAGATTTATTTTATTGACAAGATTCATAGAACGAAAACTATAATTTCGTTATATATTTATTTTTTGATCATTTTAGCTTCGATGCGAAGCTGAGAAGGTATTGGTTTTACTATGATGTGTGTTTTTTTTTTTTTGTGTCTGTTACCACTTTTTCTCAGCTCTCACCGAACGGATTTCTTTCAACGATACGTCAAAAGATCACAAATCGTATCTAGTCGAAGACATTACCCTTCAAAATTGGAAAAATTTCCCTCGTTCCCCGTAAATGGGGGAAACCTCCAAAAAAATTACAAATTTAAAAATCGCTAATTTTCGACAATTTTTTCAATTTTTTTTTGTTTAAAACTGCCATAAGTTTTTTAAAAATGAACATATCATTATAAATTTTTTTATAGATGCTTGATGTCTTTACCTATCATTTGGTATATTTTTTTTGTAAATTTGACCTTTTTTCTGCCCACAGGGGGGAATTTAAAATGACAACTTTTTCACAAAAAATTAACTTTTTCAACTTAACTTTTGAAAATGTTCCGGAAGGTCTGACACTTTTATATATATCTTAAATTAAAGCTAATGTAATATACTTTAATTTGAAAAAAAAAAATTTGACCTCTGGACTTGTCTTCACGGCGAAAATGGCTACTGAATGCTATTTTCGTGTGAAAATTCTCGATTTTATTATTTATATTATATTTAACTTTATAATGCTATAACTTATTGAAAAGTTTATGGATCCACACAATTTTTTTATGAGAAATAATATTTTTTAATAAACCCTTTTTCATTCGACATACTTTATCTTAATCGAGATATTAATAAGGAACCAGCAGATCAAGTAGCTTTTGGAATAAAACACCAATTTTTTTTTAATTAAACACTATCTAAAGATTTGCATCGAAGCGTTTATTTTTGATTGTGATTTTAATCACTGTCAGATATCATTATACTTGATCCAACTATGCCACGTCACCACTGTGCCGCGACCCCCCTGTGCTGGGTTTTTCTTAACTGAATGCAAATATTCAAATCCGATGGGAAAACACAATGAGTTAACCGAGTGGTATATATTAAGATGTAATTTAATAGTTTCTACTTAACTTTAAGTTAGAATAGTGTTTTATTTACATATAATTAATTTGATCATATCATTAAATATTGAGCCCGATTATGATCACTTAACGAGAATCAAAAATCTAGTTTTAATTTAACTGTGCACTGTGCAAAAAATAAAGATTTGAAATCGAACTTGGGATCTTACGACAGTTGGTGTATTGTAACTAGATACATCTATGATTAAAAAGTCGTTATGACAGTTATTTACTCGCAAGAACAATATGTATATTTCGTTGAAGTACTAGGCTTGAATTAGTTAAAATTTTATTAAGACATTGAGAAGTAACAATCTTTATTTTAATTTGGTATATATGTATGAGTTTTCTATTATATAAAAGCTTTCTTGTGAATTTCTATTTAATATAATTGTTTTAAAACGATTTTTCACTTTTAGATAGGATATTAAGACAGGAACGTTTCTTACTTAGTCTGAATTATAATTTTAATTTGTTAATAAAACAAAAAAAAATGATTTATATTTATATGTTGTATTATTTCTTATTAGCCAGAGTTTTACTTACGTTAAACATACATTAATACACAAATATATATTTATATCTAATAGATATTATATGTAATAGACAATGTACATGTTTTTTGTAACGAATTGGCTCCTATTGTTTTTGTTAAATTAAATAGAATTTCGCGGAGTGGAATTTCGGTATAAATTTAGTCTTATAAAATTAATAATTAATCAGTTATTTATTAAATAAAAAACAGTAGAGTGTAGTAGAGTATTAAATGTTTGAACAATATAAGTTAAAAATGTGTGTTATAACTTTATAATTTAAATTGTTTTTATTGGCATTCAGTAATTAAGTGTTATTTAAATATAAAATTTACTATTTTATGTGTATTTCAACCCTTAATAATTAATTTATTAAATATATACACTTATTATTTATATTAATAGAGTACATCATTTTGTATCTCGGATGCAAAAAATCATATACGGCCCTGAACACGATTCAAATAGCATTACAAATATTTTAATCACACTTTTAACAAATGTACATCAAGTAAAACTTATTAGCTTATAGTTATAATGATTATAATATAGTAAGGCAAGTGCAATAAAAGAAATACTACTTTTAAATTAATCTATCAATAAGATAATGTTTTGTCTATTGTATCATTTGCATAAAAACGCATATCCTCATTGGACGTCCCAGAATGCCCTGAATTCATAGATATTAATCTAAAAAATTTGTAACTCTGTAGAATTATCAAAAAGTGAGTTCAAAAAGATGATATGAAAAATATATAAAAGATTGTTTTATTTAAATGAATATTTATATAAGTTTTAGAACCAAAGAAAATAAAAAATTGTGAAGATATATCTTTAGAGAAAGTATTTTTTAAAATAAATATTTTTTATTATTTGCTTATAACAATGAACAGCATGCATATCTTAGTTTCTTATAAAATGTAACTAAAATATAATTACTAATATTCTCCAGAATTTATTATTATTATTATTATTATTAATTATATGTAAAAAAATATATTAAAATAGAACTAAATATGATAAATTACTTATAGTTAAAACTTACATTTTTATCATAGATTATAGATAAGCATTGCTTAATGTTGTACTGTATAACTTTGAACAACAGCCAAACGATGCGAAGCAAAGTGCCATTACGTGAGGAAAAGCGATCATAGTCCAAAAAATAAAAAAATTCATTGGCTTAGAGAAGTTACCTATGGTTATTTTAAAAATGTAGCTGATAGGAAGTAGAAACAAAATAATAGTTAGCCCTTGTGCCAACAAAAATGTGAAACCAATCCAAGTGATTTTTTCACAATATTCTAAAATACCCTAAAATCATCAGACAAAATCACAATATTTATCTATTAATGACACTCACTCAATTCATCCCAATACGGTGACTGTTAAAGCATTGTAAGACTTTAAGGTAGATTTCAAATAAATTAATAATGATATTAAACAAAAATTGATTTAGATGAACATAAACACAAAATACAATCAATATTATATCATTAAGTAACAAAGAAAATTCTAAAACTAATGTTTAAATTTATAAAGATTTTCACATATTATACATAGTCATCTAAACAAATGTTCACACGTACAAATGAAAATGAAGAATTGATAAAAGAAAAAACTTAATCCAATCACTACACAAAATATGAGTTCAATCGTTATACTGAAGAATAATAAACATGTACATAGCCTATTAATAAGTGGTACTGATAATAATAAAACAAAAATTATCGCAAACATTTTTGCTCAATTAAAACTGTACTAATAATGTTCAAAAATTAAGGAAAACTTTTCTTATAATTCCCATTGTTCATAAAAATGTATTTGTTTCTTTACTTACTGAACACTCAATATAGGGTTGATATGGTTTGATTATTTTCCCATATGTAGTAAACATATAGAACCCTTTAAATTTCTTGTTTGTATTTGTTTCATAATACACTAAATCTTCTAAATTGTACAGTGAAAATGATCACGTATACTAAATATTTAGATTTATATTAGTTTACAAACAAAAATAATTGTTTAGTACAAAATCTACAACGTAAATATGAATAAATAATAAAACTTGAAGGAACTTATAAAGCATTTTTTTAACTTTGTTTTTAGTTTAATATTAATTTTTATTAGTTTTTTTTAAGTTAAATAAAAATCTAATAAATAAGTTTTTTTTTAGTTGAGTAGAATAGTTTCTTTGTATTAAAAAGCTTTCACAGAACCGCAGACCAACAAATTAATTGAATTTTCTTGTGCTCTTTTCAAAATCCGATAATTTTAAAATAGCTGGTGTCTAGTTTTTAATTTTAAAAAATTGGTATATTTTTATAATATAAGTGATTAAAATGCACAATTTAATATTTTTGTGGGTCAAAGTTATTATTGAGTGAGTGAGTATGTAAACTGGTAAACTTACCACGCGCACGTATGTACACTTTACTATCATGAATATAACTACAGCATGAAGAGTACACACAATTTCTACTAGCCATGCGCATGTGAAGTACCAAGGATCCAATAGATTATCTCCCAAAACAGCAACACATCCAAAATATTGAAAAACTCCAAGCAATAACCAACAAAAAGGCACTCCAATGACATATGTCAAAGGAATTCTTACATATTCTGTATAACAGTTGCTGGTGGTTTGCTAAATTAAATATAACGCTTTTATTAAATAATAAATATTAAGTCATAGTTTTCGTTTAGCATTTTAAAAAGCACTTTTTTAAATTATAGTCAATCATAATATCTATTGACGAACACTAAGCCAGTCAATGAAGAGAAATATAATGTAAAATATGAGAAAATATGACCGAAAAATCTTGTGCAATTAAATTCTTAAGAGAATAATTGTACAGTATATAACACATCGTTAGGTTTGCTCAACATTTTTAAATGTAGATTATAGAACTTATTTATAAATTTTCGAGAGTTAAAATAGTTTATACATATTAAGTTTTTTTTTCAAATTTATAGTGATATTTAATTAATCAAGCTCTTATAAGTACTTAAAACTAATATGTTAGGTTAACACAACTAATTCGACTAAAATTTGTCCCTAGAATGAAACACTTTTAAATAGTAGTTAAAAATTAGTTACTTCATTGAAAAACAAGTAAAATAATAATAATCATTTATATTTAAAAAAATTGCGTTGTAGGGTGATTTCGATTATTTCTCATTACTAGTCTATTTACTTACCTGAACTGCTCCTCTGTTAACAGTGACAGTTTTTAACAATGCTTGTTCGTCGATCAATTGTTGCTGTTGATGAGTTGGGTAAGCCGATTGTTGTAATAGTTCAGCTGCTTCAACATCAACAATTACTAGACTGGGATCATCATGTCGGCGGATCGAAGGACTGCGACATCTATTGCCATTATCAACATTATCAATAGAGTTATTATGCTGATCCATGTTAGAGTTAATTTGTTCTTGTTTACTCAAATCAAATACCACGTTATGGCTTATCTTAATATGGAAAAAAAATTAGAGAAAGCTTTTTTTAAATAAATTAAGCCAAAAAAGAATAATTTTAATTTTGGAAGATCTAAAGCAACAAATATTTGCATTTAAACTGTTTTATAAAAATGTGCCCGCTTATAAAACCAATTATTAAAAATAAAATAATTAATATTAAAAACAAATTAAATAATATTTTTATACTGAGCGTTCAGCAAGTTAGAAAATAGTTCAATTCATACAAACAATAAGAATAATAGAAACGTTTTTCCTTACTTACTGAACACTATAAAGTTAGGGAACGTATGGCGTTTAATTAAATAGGATGAAAGCTTAGATATATCCGCTATGTCTATAAGGAACTCAATAATTAATAAATTTAATAATAGTACGTTAAAATTATAATCATTAATACGATTTTTAATTTTTACCATGTTTCTATTTTATTTGAATTAAAATTTTTTTTTAAATAATTACCTATAATTGTTGCATTGAGATATCCTTTATATTAATTAATTACTTTGATTAACTCGTATAAAACAGTAGTTATTTCATGGCTATGATAAATTCAAAACTAATCTGACCAAGTTTACGTGTAATAATATAAAATATTTCACTCGGTAATTTAAATATTTTTATAATTGTTAAATTTTTGATAAGATTAACACAACGAATGTTTATTTTATAGTAACAAAAAGACGTTTGTAACAATTGGACTTTTTTCTTGACTGATATAAAATATTTGCACTAATCTAACTCAAATAAATACAGAGACTAGATTTTTATCTCATTATAATTATTTTATCACTATTTCTGAATGTATTAAAATGTTGATTTTTACATCCAGTGATGTAAAAATACAGTATTTTAATGTTCAAGGATACAATATATGTATTATGCAGGATTTTAACATTAGCTACTCAATTTCTCTTAAAATAATAATTCTTTTTTAGCTATTGTTAGTTACATATATTTCTTCATTTATCTGTTATATAAAATTTGGTAGATCTGTATATTAAGCCCTTATAAAGCTAGTAACTTAATTTTTTTTTAATATTTTTTTTTACATATTTAACTAGCTTATATAGTAGAAAAGTACTTAATTAAGGAAAGACTGATTGTTGATAACTTTTGACCCACTATTTCAAAAGCTTTAACTATTTTAAAATATAGAGTCGAGGTGATGTGTGAATTATGTTATTTTTATCATTTGGCATTACTCTGTCGCACTCTTTCCACCTAGGTATAAAAATATTAACAACCTTTGAATTACTGATACAAAAAAAGTTATGAACCAGTCATTTTCTTAACTAAGTTATTTTCTATTAGTTAAATATTTATGTTTCAATTAAAAAAAATGTTAACTCCCCTATAAAACATAAAGGATGGACACAAAAATATTTTATAACAGATAATGGAATAACAATGTAACTAACAAAGTCCATTTGGCGAAAATCGCCCAATATGAATGTTTCTGTCGTCGCTTATATCTATATCGAATTTAAAGTATTAATGGATGACCAAGAACTTAAAATAAAAACTAAAATATCTAAACGCAAATCCATGTACAGACAGAAAATGTATACTCTTCAAAAACATACTAGGTCACAAGCTAATATACAATATTATTAAACCTACACCTACACCGTATGATTTTATATGGTTGTAGGTTCTAGAGATTAAAATATCTCACATATATATACAAATATAGTCATAGTAATGGCGATACCCTCTGTGGAGATCGCCCGAGATCTTATGTCAAGCACTAGCGATATATTGACTAATTGATGACCTTCGATAAATATTTACCAACATTTATTAGTACATATTTCTTCATTTCTAAATAAATTGTAAATGTATAAATTTCATTGATAAATGAGTAATTTTTAAATATCGAGTTATTTGTTTTTAATAAGTAATTAAACTAAGAAAATAGAAAAATAAAACAGCTGACAGAGCTGCCGCGGTCTTTTATGTCTAATAAAAAATAAAAAAAAAACAGCTGATGTTTTTCAATATTTTTTACACATTCATTGTAAGGTTTAATCATTAAATGCTTAGTTTAAATAATTTATAGGAATTTATACATTAAATGTAAGGATAATACCAACATCTGAATTATCAATCATCAAATCATTATAACTTTATAATTCAAATGCCACGCGTTACACACTAACCAATCATTTATATGGTAAAAGTATATCACGTTCATATCGATTCTAAACTTGTAAAATAATTTTTTACTTCTTTTTTTCAAATCTTCCCTATTGTTTCCATTTATTTACTAAATCCTATGTATATAGTTTATCATTTCGTAATTATTCCATGCGCGGTAATATGTGTATAAAAAAATTTTTTAAGTAAACATTTTATAAGTATTTATAAATTCTTATATTTTTGTACACAATATATACTTCTGATCTACCTTTATCGGATACAACAGTACTTGGTACCTATGCTGATGACACGGCCTTAATATCATCTTCATTAGATCATAAAGTTGCCAGTCAACAGTTACAAGTACATCTAAATATGCTTTCGCACTGGTTCAAAACCTGGCGTGTCAAAATAAATGAGTCAAAATCTTCTTTCATTACATTCACTCTTAAAAAACATGACTGCCCATTAGTTACTATTAATAACATTATTATTCCTCATTTAACCGAGGTTAACCGAGGTTAAATACCTAGGGTTAATTTTTGACCGAAGGTTAACCTGGGGTCCTCATTTAAAAGATAAAAGGAAAAAACTGAACTCGAGACTTCATTTACTAAGACCTTTGCTTAAGTCAAATATTTCTTTGTCAAATAAAATTATATTGTACAAAACATTACTCCAACCACTATGGTCTTATGGCATAATAATTTGGGGACCAGCAAAAAGTTCTAACCAGAGAACAATCCAAAGTTTCCAAAACATCTGCTTAAGAATCATAACCGGGTCGCCCTGGTACCACACAAACATGGCCCTACATTCAGACCTCCATCTCAACACAATTAAAGAAATGGCAAGATTATATTATAAAAGATTCTGGATGAAACTTGAATCCAACCCCAACAGATTAATTCAAATGCTGAGCGCAAACGCCTTGCCTGGCAATCCAGTAAGGCGTCTTAAGAGAGAATGGTGCAGAGACCTATTATCTTTATAAATGATTTAATCTTGTTAACATTGCGTAATTAAAACTCCTAATTATTGTACAAACTACTATACCATTATATATTATTATTATTATTATTATTATTAATATTATGTAATNAAATGAAATTGTACAATTATTATTCAAAAATATATAATTAAATTTAAATATTTGATAAGATCTGATAGGAAAATTATAAAGCCTAAAAATATTTCAGTTATTTTAGCTTCAATAGGAAGCTAAGAAGGTATTAATTTTTTTGCCACTTTTTCTCAGCTCTCACTGGACCAATTTTGATGAACAATATCAAATTAAAGCTTATGTCATGTAATATAAAATGAAAAAAAAAATTTGTCCCGACATCTTATCTTCTACGTGCAAACGGCTGTCATAGTTAAAAAAATTCTATTTTTGTGTTAAAATTATCGATTTTAAATTTTAAATTTCTATAACTTTTTGAATAATGTATGTATCAACACAAATTTTTTTTCTAAATACATTATATATACCCCTTTCATTTAACATACTTTTTATTTAAATTGGACAAGTTTCCTTTATACAGGGGGCTTTCAAAACTTGAAAACAACGTATAAAAAGTAGAACTTTTTCAACTAAACTTTTGAAAATGTTCTAAAAATACTGCGTTCTTTAAATATATGTCAAATTAAAGCTAATTTTTCTCGACACTTTTTCTTCTATAGGAAAATTGCCGTCGAATTTAACGTTACTTATAATTTTTATGTAGCAATCACTGTTTAACATGAAATATTTTGATACTTAAAATTTGCCATATTTTTTTTGAAAAATGAACAAATTAAAATTATTTTTTTTATATCGAAACCTTAGATATTTCTTTCATTTGATATAATTTTTTTGAAAATCTGACTCTCAATCTGCTCGCAAGGGTAATTCAAAAGAACAATTTTTGCACACAAGTTAAGCTTTTTCAATTTTTGAAAATGTTCCGAAATATTGATACTTTTATTTAATCTTTAATTTAAACTTATATTTTTATTTAGAATAAAGTTCATAAGACATATGATGTTAAATTTATTTAAATTTTTTTGCTTTTTTAAAGTCAAAAAAGTAACATTAAATTTTGAATTAGCTTAAATTGACACAGTTATTATTCTGCGAAAGCGACGAACAGTTGCCGAATCGGTAACACTTATGTCTTTCACGGTTAGGATACCAGGTTCGAATCCGCCTATGGCATTTAATATTGTATTTTTTTAAGTTAAAAAAAATGTTCAAATCATTTAATTTTTATCTCATTTAGATTCATTAAATTCAATAAATATCAAGAATCCCATTACTGTAGTCTCCTCTCATGTGAAGAAATATCTTATTCATGTTAATATTATTTTACTATGTGTTTTTTTTTGTGGCTGCGATTTATTGTTCCAACCCTCAATTAACCTACTTTTTTCAACAATATGTCAAATTATTACAATTCGTATTTAGTTGAAAATATTACTCTCAAAAATTGAAAAAATATATCCCTTAATCAAATAAAAAGTACCTTAAAAAGTTTTATCCATATAAACAATTAAAATGATTAGTTTCTAATATGTTTAATGTATTTATTGCCGAATTAGATTTGATATGATAAAAGTATTCAACTACAAAAGTAAATAATTTTACTTTGTAATTTATTATATTTTTAACTCTATTTGTGTGTGGTACTAACAGTCTATAATATTCTAAATTTTTTAGTAACATGTTGCTATATAAAACACAAATCTAAAAAAAAATTATTTTTAGTTTCACCTGAAATGAACAATCGATTTTTACAAATACAATCAAATTTTATATTACTCTCAATTGAGAAGTTCTTTTTAACAAGATTTGAATCGAAGCGTTTCTAATGATAGTGATTTTAATCAGTGATTAAATCTATACTGGATTACAACTATGCCACGTCTCCACTGTGCTGGGTTTAATTATTATTAGAAATATCATTATTTATTATATTGTATACTTACATATTTTTATTTTGTTATACATTAGTATTTAATGTCTATTAAAATTATACTAGTCAGAGGGGTTTGAGTTAAAAAAGGGAAGATGTTATATATATATATATATATAGATTATACATTGCATGTGTACATTGATATTAAAGTCAGTTAAGCAGTGACCGTTTATTAGTATAGTTTAAGTATGTTTTATCCAAATCTAACCGATCAATAATAGTATAGCAAAAAAAATCGAATTAAAGCTTTCAGCTATATATTATGAATGTTTTTTGAAGGAGCTAATAAAAAAAAAAATAAACATATTAATTACTATGGTGAATTATTATTTGCTTTATATCAATTTAACACAAAAATAATAGAGTTATTAAACAATAAAAAGATTGTTGTTCATCATAAAGAATAAAACTAGAATAATTTTATAGTATTATAAGTTTTTGGTTTGTTAATACAGTTTATCATATTATAATATGATAATATAAAACGAATAAAAATAATAGTAAGTTTGCATTTTTTATTCTCAAAAAACTACATTGCTATATTTATTTAATAAGTTTATTCATAGGTATTCATTTATTCATTTTACTTTTTTAGATTTGTGGAATTTTCAATTACTAAAATAGTTTTAAAAAATTTTCAAAAGAATGATGTAAGGTATTTTAATGACTGCAAACTTGGAATGTTGTAATAAACTTCATTAGTGTATCACTAGTATCAGTGTCATGTAACTGTCATCGGTACCCTAGAGTAATATTTGGCGCCTCTATTTAATATATTTTTAAACAAAATATATCATATGCAAAAATATATGTATTCTTATTTTTTTAGCGTTCTTTTAATGTGTATCACTTAGGGCACTTACCCCAGTTGTCCCTCACTCAAAGCATGACCATGACTAGTATTATGAATTATTCCATTGGTAATTTTTTAATTTGTATTTGTAACTATATTAATTTGTAGAATTATGTTAAAAGTAATAAAAAATTATAAACAAAACAATAGTCTTTAACTTAATTATATCTTTAGATTATGACAAGATCTTATATCAAGAAAAAAAATGTTCATTTTGAACAGGATTGTATAACAGTGTTTAAAACATAGCTATCTGTCCTAAGGATATTGGTTATACCAATAAAAAAATTATGTTCATGATATGAATAACACTAAATATAATAATAAAAACTAAAATTTGGTAATTTATTAGACAACTACCAGTAAATTTATTGATTTGGATTTTAGCTGACAGTTAAAAAAAATTGTACAAACACCTACCATATCGTTTTAACATATTAATCTTCTATTGAATAAAGAAAAAATGTAGTATAAAAAGTGGTTCATCGCCTTTTTGAAGACAATTTTGAAAAAAATAAGAACGAAAATCGTACTCAAAAGAACTTTGCAAACTGAGTTAGTACACAGGAAATAAAAAGGTACTATTAACTTTTTAAAGAATAAGAGCCTTGCAAAATTTTTTTTGGACTAAACCCTGTCATTTTAAGCGCCAATCTTGTTGATCAATTCAATTACTCACTCTCACAATTCACTAGAATATCCAGGTACATAGCTAATACTAAATATTAACTGAAGGTGATGTTTATACCAAAATTTTACATTCTCCGCGCAACAATAATTTTTGATACTATTTTTCAATAAAAATGTCTTTAAAACGTTTTTTTTTTGTTTCATTAAAAAATATAGGTGATTTTTAGCTATCCTGTTTCGAAATCAACACAATTGAATATAACAATAATTAAAAAAAAAAAATTATAACAGCCTTTGAAAAAAAAGATACTACTAAAATAATTAAAAAAATAATATAGAATCTCTAAAATGATAAAATTTAAGTTACTAATTTTTAGCAATTCTTATCTTAAATTATTTAAAAAGTTTTTAATTATTTTAGAAAAAAATATTGAAGAATGACAACATTTTTTTTTATTTTTAAGTTAAATGACAATACACTACTAAAAAATTAACGAAGACATTAAACTTTCAGAGAACATGAAAAAAATATAAAAATAATAACGAAACTGGTGAAATTGTTAAATATTATTTCTAAAAAAGAACTTAAAAATATATTACATTCTCTATATTAACTCACCTGGTTACAATAATTAAGGGCCGAAGTGTCGTAACTTTCAATTTTAAAATCATAAATTATTGAAAAATGATCAGATTTACTAGGAAAATTCACGTCGTACATTTTATAAAGCACTACAATTGCTTGTTTGCTTTTAGTATAAATCTAAAACTAAGACATTATGAGTTGACTAAAAACAAATTCAATACACAAAACCTCAAAATTACGATTAATTAATAAACCATTATGCTTGCTAACGATTAGTGTTTAACTCACTAGTAAGTAATAAGTGTCTCCTCTTATATAAAAGAAAGCTACCGCTAATATGTCCCTAAATACCTTATGAATTTTATGATTACACAGTACAATTAGAATGCATATTAATTAATAAAAACTCGAAATAACTTAAGAAACGATTAAAAGTATTTAAATATTTAATTGCTACTAATACGTATACAATTATTTACTTATCTTATAATTATAAAAATATTTAGGTAATGGAATTATTGATTTGATAGTATGGTAGTGTTTCATAAATTTTAAAGTGACTATTCTCTTGCAAGACATTATAAAATAATATAAATACTTTGCTTGATTACAGCCTATTTCAACTTTTGAACCATATCTAATTGTCAATCTTCAAAATTAATCTGATATAAATAATTATAATAATAATAAATAGTTTATGTGTATAAATATTTCAGATAATGATACTGACTGTAGTACATGTCTTATATAAAGATTAAATAAAATAGTTTTCATATAAAACATTTCAATTTTAGAAAATAGTTTATAAAATATACTCTAGTATATTTTGTACAGACGTACTCATCATAAATTGACTGCATGTCAAAACAAGTCAATATATAAAAAAAATTATAGATGTAAAATTTCTGAATCTGCTCTAAAAAGCACTGGCTCAATAGGTTAAGTATGTTTTTAAAAGAATATTATCTTGACAACGATAATATCTTGTCTAATTTGTTTTATAAAATTATGAATAAATTAAAATAAAAAATATCCAAAATCATTATTGTTTAGATTTTTTTAGGCCATTTACCTTATTTAAAAACATGATAACTTTTAAAGTCATATGGTTAGCATTGTTTAATTGTTTAACCCAATGTTATTGTACAAATATTGAACTTAATGAAAAAAATATCGTTGAGCGTGTGCCATCCTTTGAGGAGGGCATTTGTAATTTGTCATATGATCAAATTTTTGATGCCTTAAAAGTGTAAGAAGACTTTATGACAATAATGACTATAAGTTATCCACAGAAGATTGACTATTTAAATTCACGGGGAAAAATACAATAGCATACGAAATTACTTTTGAGTATTAAAAAATCACTTATTTGAAGTATAAATTATTAACTTCTCATTAGTTATTGTTAAACTAAATTTCGGAATATATATTAAACTTAAGTATATAAAATCAAATTTTTTTTTTACATTTAGTAGAATTTAAAGTTTAACATTAAAAAATATATTTTGTCAAGTTTATAATACTGATTTGGTTACTCTGTACAATTATAGCACATACTTTATTTTATACAAAAATAATAATCAGAAAATACTATTCCATGTATATATTTTACAATAAATTTACTCAAAAACATTTCACAATGCTCAAAAAATAATATAAACATATTTTTTTAATTATCATTATAGAACATCTTGTCCAGCTCAAGCATCGCAAATTTGTTCATCTGATGACTGTATTAAGAAGCAACAATGTTTAATTGAATGTATAGCTGTGGAGGAAGTTGGTTCGCATTATATGGAAGGTGTAGCCGAATTGATTGTGAACCAAGCTATGGTGCAGTGGGAGTCGAATAAAAAAGAAATCGAAATTATTGTGGCTGACATGATAAATGTAGCACACAGGCTTAACAATGCGATAGGACTTTATTATGAACTTACATTATGTGCGAATAAACTTGCTAAAGACCTAAAAGATGCGCGAGTTGTAGTCCAAGAAAAAGCGCATTGTGTCAATGAAATTCGTCGTCATTTGTGTAAGGTAAGAGCTGCCCTAGAAACATCAAGAAGACAAGATGCAATACAGCGGTTGAATAGTAATAATAAAATAAAAGCAACTTGTTGTGATTGTACCACTTATACACCATCTCCAAATTAGTTAATTAATACTAGAAGAAAGCTTTCTTCGCTTTTAATTTAGTTTTGTCGTTGTAATTTATTGTTATATATTTTTTTTATGATCATATATACATAAATATTTTTTTAATTTTATAATTTTAACGTATTTTTAAATGTTATAACCCGAAAAAGATATGTAAACTACTATAATTAAGAATACAAAAACTGGAAATAAACGTATCATACACTAATTGCGCTATAATAATACAACAATAATTGTTTTTACACTGGTCAACACGTATTTATATATTATTAAATGGTAAATAATTTTAGGTTAATAAAATAAATAATATGAAATGGACATTCTCCGATTTATAATGATATTGTAAAGGATCAAATATACATCAATACAACGCACCATCATAATAAACTTCAAATATTTTATTTCTAATTTAAAAGCGGAAAAATTGAAACAAAAACGTTGATGCAGTCATTACAAACTTAGCTCTTAGAGTTCTAAATATAATACAGACCATCTAATATTGTGTAATATATGTATATGTTCTATATGAACATTCTAAGACATCTATTTCTGATGTGTTATTTCTAATTTTGTCCGTTATTGTGATCTATAATAATAAAAAAATTGCACAATATATATTTATATTTTTACAGTTATTATTATAGCTAAAGAGTCTATTTTATTATTTTTTAAGTTAAAGTATATTTAAAAGTATAATTATATATATATACAGGGTGGCCCACCACTCACTGACAACTTAAATAACTTTTGATCCAGTTAATATTTTTAGTTGATTTTTTTTTTAAATAATAGTTATACGTTAGGTCTATAGCTATATCTCAATAATTAATTTTTTTACATTTTATTAAAAATATTAATTATTTTTAAATTTTAAATAAAATGTAAAAAAAAAATCTAAGATAGCTATTTTGTAGAGTAGAATTTAAGAAAAATTTTAGTAAAAAAATATCTTATTAATATTCAGTAGTAAATATTCTGTAGCGTTTTGAAGTTTGTGAAAATTTGAATTTTCATGTATTATTTTACGGTATTAAACATTGAAATACGTATTGAGAAAAGGACAGAAGAAAACGCTATCTTTTCAATATACTTTTGAATGAGAGTGATAAGTAATAATTGCCTTATCTAATTTCTTATCATGGTATTAATGCCAAGTTTGTAATGTATACACATTATCATCATATGTATACACAGTAATCATGAAAAGATAGCGTTTTCTTCTGTCCTTTTCTCAATACGTATTTCAATGTTTAATACCGTAAAATAGTACATGAAAATTCAAATTTTCACAAACTTCAAAACGCTACAGAATATTTACTACTGAATATTAATAAGATATTTTTTTACTAAAATTTTTCTTAAATTCTACTCTACAAAATAGCTATCTTAGATTTTTTTTTTACATTTTATTTAAAATTTAAAAATAATTAATATTTTTAATAAAATGTAAAAAAATTAATTATTGAGATATAGCTATAGACCTAACGTATAACTATTATTTAAAAAAAAAATCAACTAAAAATATTAACTGGATCAAAAGTTATTTAAGTTGTCAGTGAGTGGTGGGCCACTCTGTATAATATATTTGTAATATAAATAACTTTTACATAAAAGTTTTTATGTGTTAAAATTATAACTAATAAAAATAGATCGTAAAATTTTGCACCTTCAGATTCCCTTTTAAAGATACTTAGATGATAAACACGTCTATCTTTCTAAAAGTTTTATTTAAGAACCCTAAAGAATGTGGTCTAATGATGTGGTCAATATGTATTGTATATTAATATAAAATTAAAAATCATATTCGTATTTTTGAATCTAAATAAAAATTGTTACATATATATAGGCGTATGTTTGTGAATAACATATATAGTGTTCAGTAAGTAAGGAAACGAGTTTCTATTGTTCACATTATTTTTGTAACAATTGACCTATTTCCTTACTTACTGAACACCCTGCATACAAATGTTTATATTGTATATTAGTAACGGGGCATACTATGCAATAAAATAATACATCAAAGAAAGAACTAGGCATCTCTAATACAATTAATTGAAGTCACGATAATGCAAATTAGAGCCACGGCCGATGCGTTTATTAATGATAAATTTGACTGGTTAAGTATAAAAAAAAATAAGTAATAAGGTTTTTGAATAGTAAAATTATTTTCTCTTCACACTTTTCTAATGACTGCAGTTAGTTAATTAAGTTAATAATTAATTAGCCCGAGTCCCCGCATATCATAGCACCAACACTGATGATTTTAGACTAAAAATTCAAAAACAATGATAGTAATTCAATCAACAGTGTTTTGTTACATTGTTTCATATTTCTAGTTTATCACTTAAAATCACAATTTAAAACTAAAAAAACTTTTCAATACAATAGCAATTATTAGATATGAAAAGGTGGGAGTATTTGACTACAAAATTATTGTGAATTGACAGTTGTACATATGTTTTTTTTTAACAAATCATTGTCTAGTACATTTCGTTTACGAGAATACACGTGAACGAGGCTGTACTTAAGCATATGTGGTTGATGGTGATACACTCCGGATGTGACTAGTAGATGACAAAGCCATCAAAGTAACAATTTCCTATAGAAAAAACTTTTTTTCGTTTTTTTGTTAATAATATTTTTATTTATAACAGTATAATAAAATTTTCACCAATGTTTTCAAAAAAAGTACGTTATCAAATTTTAGTTATACTTATCGTAGTCACTGTTCATACTTTTAAAGTAAGTTATCTACAATAATAGTAAAATGTTTAAGATTAAATTTATAAATTTAATAATTAAAGTTACAAGTATTAAATCCCACTAAGCCCTCCTAATTTTATATTTTCAAAATTTACGGAATTTAGTAATGATTATTTGAACAATTTAAAAATAACATTATAAAAAATAACAAGTGTAATTTTTTAAATAAATAATTGAATACGAATTAATATTCAAAATTACTCAAGAAATTTGGAAATAGAGAAAATTATATCAGTTTTTGTATTAACGGCAACTTATAAGATTTACAAATAATTACAATTTCTCTTAAATTGTTCTTCCATTCAAGAAATGTAAAGATGAAAATATGTATAAATAATATAAAACTTATATGTATAAGATTAATAATTAATGTAATTGCCACTTGTGTTTCTTGTTTGAATTTTAATTGACATATATTAAGTCATCTTAGTTTTTCTTTAAATTAATTAAAAGTCAACTTGCGAAGTTGTTGAAATATTAGTATCAAAACTTTTCTTATTTATATCTTCACAAAGAAGTTTCGTTTAAATTAAATAATTTACAATTAAATGGTCATTTTTAATCATATTTAACCATTATGTTGCGTTTTCCACTTAAATAATACAAAAAATTCATCTGTCATAAAACAATATTTCATATATAAAAACTTATGTAACATATAAGAATATATTTACACTAGGTTCAATCAGAATTTCCATTTCTTTTTATATATTTCTAATTTTTACTTATCTTAATAATATTTAAGTAATTTTTTATTTAAAAATATATATATTTTTTATATTTTAGTAAAAGAGATGCACTTTTATAATACAACAACTCATCCATAAAAATTTTGATTTAAAGTTATTTACCTTAATTATTAGACTTTGTACTTGACTTCACACCCTTTATAAAAAAAAACCGTTAACGTTATTATTTTACATATAATTACTACATTCATGAATTTATCTATTCTTTGTTACAGTATATGTATTTATTACTAAAAATGGTTGAAAAAAAAGTTATTTTGTAATTATATTATGAATAGCTTAAATATTGTATTATTCAAAGTTACAACATACAACATTTAAAACAAAAAAAAAAATGACATTTTTTCTTTAAAAAAATAAGTAGGCCACAATTATTAAAACAATTGCAAAATTTACTAACTTTAATAGTATTTTAAATATTTAATAAATTAAAATTTGTAAAAATTATAATGTATTATAACTAAGTGCTGTAAAAATTACTTTAAAAAATCAACAATTCTTTCAGACAATTTTCTCCGGGTTATACAAAACCATTGGGGTCATTTAAATTACATCAAGATAAATAAATTTTTAAATAACAATTACAGTTGTCTATTATTTTTATTTGAACAATTTAATTAAATACACACAATTTCACAATAGTAACTATTGTTCTCTTAATATTTCTTGATTAAATCACAGAACAGTAATAATCGTATACAATTTTACTAATTATTTGACAAATTTATCTACATCTTTGCCATTTTCATTACCAAATTAACCAATTAATTAAAAAAATAATAACAAATACAAATTAAACCATTATTATAGTGTTGACTCTCATCTCGCTATTACAGATCATTTGAAGTGATATCAAAATCGCTAGTAAAAAAAAAAAATAATAATAAAGAAATTTCAATTTTTAAGGTACTACATACCTACACTTAGTATTAATATACTTTTAACTCAACAAAATTTTTTTCTAAAATTGTTATAGACCCATCAAATTTTTTTGTAAGTAAATTATTAAAAAAAAGTTATAACACAACAACTTTAGAGACACGTTCACCACGCTTCATATATACTACTCATCATGTCATCTCAATATTTTGCAGTTCAGGACCGAACGATCAACGAAAGATAATTCAAAAATTTAAATAATTTATTATGGGATAATTTACTCGAATTTCTTAGAACTGAAGTCATTCCACTCGTGCTTAAGGGATTTTTAGATTCACAGAATATTACGCTCGGAAACGGTTACAGATTCCCAAATGCTTTTCCATTACGTGCGCTTTCAACTCAAACTGGTTTAAAGGTAAATTCGGAAAAGGGGGATTTCTTTTATCGAGAAGAGTTAATTAATGGAAAATGAATTATGATACAGCAGGGGCCGAGAGATTTGAAATTTGGACTAGCGGATGTAAATGGACTTCATAATGTTAAATCTTCCTTTACTTATACGTGGGATGTGGTTTTTCTAGTTATCAGTGCAGTTTATGGAAAAGTATTTTCCGATTTTAGCAAATTTGAAGGAATAGTCACTACGAATATTCAAGAAGCTAACTTTAAAACTGAGTATATTGGATGTGAAATTAGTTACTTAATGTCATGTGCCAGATTTTTATTGGCTTGTTGTGCCATGTCTCGAAAATTTGATGGATTGAGTAATATGACAGAGTACCGAGAGAGGTTTTAAAGTCGGCATTAATGAGAAAAAGAGTCCCGAAAAGGTACATTAATACAATAGAAGATATGTATGATGGCACTTGTACCAGGGTAAAAAGCGTTGGAGGAGTATCAGAAGGTTTTCGGGTAAAAGTAGGAGTGCACCAAGGTTCTGCTTTAAGCCCTTACTTATTCTCTATAGTGATGAATGAAATTACTAGAGAAATATAAAGAGAGGTGTCGTGGTGCATGTTGTTTGCTGACGATATAGTGTTAGTAGAATTAGGGAGGAAATTAATCAAAGGCTAGAAGTGTGGAGATCAGATCTTGAAGAAAAGGGTTTAAGAATAAGTAGAAGTAAGACAGAGTATATAGAGTACGAATTTGACAAAGGAGAACACGAGGTAGGTGAAATGAAGAGGTCAGTGACCATAGGCGAGGACATGATTGGAAAGGTGGAGAGTTTTAAGTATTTCAGTTGTGCAAAAGAGTGGTGGTATTGACGAAGATATAAAACACAGAATTAAGTGCAGCTGGTTGGAGTAGAGAGAAGCGTTTGGCGTCTTATGCGATAAAATAATTCCAATGAAGCTGAAAGGTAAATTCTACAAGACTGTAATAAGGCCAGCTATGATGTCTGGTTCAGTGTTGGACGGTTGATAAGTAGAGCAAATATGAGAATGCTTAGATGGATGAGTGGAGTGACTAGAAAAGATAGAATAAGGAACGAGCCTATAAGAGGGAGTATAGTTTTAGCGTCAATTTGAGGACAACTGATGTGAGCGTAAATGATGTGGGAGATCGTGTCAAGTGGAAGTTTAGGATAAGGGTGGCCGACCCCAAATAGTTGGGATTAAGGCGAGGAATAAGAAATGATTAAAAAAAGTTGTTTGAAATTTTGTAAAAAATATAATTTTATTATTAAAAATAAATAATAAATAATACGCTTTAAACGTAGTCAAAGAAGGCAATAGTTATTAAAAACAAAAATATGAACAAAATAATAATTTTATCAAAAGATATAAGCGTTATCAGTTAGGTCTGAGTTAATCTAGTTATTATTACTTAAAAGTATATTTGTTTATGTACACCAGAATCAAATAAAAATATAAGTATTATCCAGTTTTTCCTAAATTTTATTTCTATGACAAAAATTACCATCTCCTATTTGTGGTCCGTATTTTAAAAAAAATCAGTGTTTTCATGTGTTAAAAATGTTAAATCTATTATTAAATTTGAATAAAATGAAATTATTAATTTAATTGTAATTTTATAAATATAATTTCCTATTAATATAATATAACATTTTACTATTAATCACATAAAAGAGCAAAGAATACATATTTATAGACTATATTAATATAAAAATTTAAATAAAAAATTTGACAGTAAATTACATTTTTCTAAATTATCAATATACACAATATCGCTTGAACTAAGAATAAAGTCATTTAAATCACTGAATTTTTTTTTAATATAACTTTATTATCTCAACTTACATTTTTTTGTACGATTGGTGGTCTTATTGATAAAATATTTGTCTAGGCATTTTCGTTGTTTCTTGAATTGTAAAAGATGATTCATCGCCTATTTTTTTTTATCTCGATTCAACTGATTTATAAGGAATAATTGAAAATTCATTCTCTTCCAAATTTAAATATTGGAATCTTTCAGACTTATGTCAAGACAACTAAACTATTTCTTTAAATTTTGTTTTATAAATTACTTATATCTTTGTATCCCCTATTTATTAATTAGAATGTAAATAAATAATATTGTGTAATATCAGCGTAAAAATCTGGTCTGAATTTTTGTTTATTCAAGTAATATTTTAACATTATTATAATGAAATAAATTTTTAAACATAAAAGTACTAAATAATCATTTTATAAAAAAATACATTTTACAGATTTGCTTATCGATGCCTTTTGAATCACCTCAGGCAGTATGGAAACCACTGGGAATTACAGTACAAATGGACAAAACCAATGATACTAACTGGACACCTATGTTTGTGTTAGTTAAAACAGAACAAGCACTTAAGACTGTATTACAACAGGCTGTCAAAGCATCAGAAGAAATGTTACGGGGTGTTGGTCGATTGTTTTTAGCCACTGGAGAGTCGATAAACTTTGTGTGGGACTTCGGTATCAGTTCAGTATTGACTTTATGCAGAATAGGTAGTGAGGCGTACAATCAGATGGTTCAGGCAGTTGAAGATTTACCAGTTCTTGGATTTGGAGCACGTGGAGTCGATGAAGCTATTAAGACATCATTGAAGGTAGCTGAATACTCAGCTAAACAAGATATGGAAGCTCGAAAAACAGCGTATGGTCACCTTAAACAAAAAATTGACTCAAGTGCGTCATCACACGCTACTATATTTACTAGCTAACTTTTAACAGTTTAATTATATTTTTTTTATATATTTTCTAATTAAATCAATGGATCTAAAAAATAGTTGTATCATAGAATTTTACATTAATTTTAAACTGTGATACTTATATTCTTGTCTTTGAGAATGCAATTTATGAAAATCATTTAAGGTTTACCAAAAATAATATTAAGTCTTAAAATTAATTCATTGAAATGCTACATGTAGTGCTTTAACCATATATTTTTCGTGAGGATAAGAAATTTAATATTTTAAACATCTTTTTATTATAATTGTCTTCCAGTAATATAAAACAACTTTATTCAACATATACTTTAAATATCAGACCCGCAGTCTAAAATATTACAATACATAAACTATAATATAACTATAAATTTAAAGGAAGTACACACATTTGAAAATTCATTTTTATCCATCAACTATTAAAAGTGATAAATATTTTTAAAACATATGGTCATTATACAAATAATAATCATATTATATCATTGAATGATTAACATCTATAGCGTTAGGTGAATGATTAGAAAAATCATAAAAACATAAATAATAAAAATTATAATTCATGAGGACTATATCCATTAAAAAATGTGTAGAAAAACAAAATTTATTAGATAAAATTGATAATGAATTTTCCTTTACATAAAAATAATAGAACTTTCTTTTTTAGCTTCGATGCGAAGCGGAGAAGGTATTAATTTTACTATGATGTGTTTTTTTTTTTTTTTTTGTCTGTTGCCACTTTTTCTCAGCTCTCACTGGACCGATTTCTTTCAAAAATACGTCAAAAGATCACAAATCGTATCTAGTTGAAGACATTACCCTTAAAAATTGAAAAAAATTCCCTCGTTCCCCGCAAATGGGGGAAATATCCAAAAAAATTACAAATTTAAAAATCGCTAATTTTCGAAATTTTTTCACTTTTTTTTCTTAAAACTTCCATAACTTTTTGAAAAATCAACAAATCAACATAATTTTTTTTTATACTAAAACCTTAGATATTTACCTTTCATTTGATATCATTTTTTTGAAAATCTATCACTTAACCTGCTCATTAGGGGGGATTTAAAATAGCAACTTTTTTACAAAAATTAACTTTTTCAACTTAATTTTTGAAAATGTTCCGGAAATACTGCGTCCTTTAAACATATATCAAATTAAAGCTTATTTTATGTACTATAAAATGAAAAAAAAAAATTTGTCCCGACACTTTTTTTTCTACATTTAAACGGCTGCCGTAGTTAAAAAAACACTATTTTTGTGTTAAAATTTTCGATTTTCGATTTTTAATTTTCAACTTAAAAATGCTATAACTTTTTGAAAAATGTATATATCAGCACAATTTTTGTTTTCTAAATACATTATAAGTACATCTTTCATTTGACATACTTTTTATTAAAATTGGACAATTTCCCCTTATATAGGACGCGTTCAAATGTTGAAATATTGTAAAAAATATAGAACTTTTTCAACTTAACTTTTGAAAGTGTTCCGGAAATACTGCGTCCTTTAAACATATATAAAATTAAAGCTTATTATATGTACTATAAAATAAAAAAAAAAAATTTGTCCCGACGATCTATCTTCTATGTGCAAATGGCTGTCGAAAATTAAAAAAAAATGTAATGTTTGCGATAAATATTACCTTTTATCGGAATGTTTTTTGTGCTTAAAACTGTCATAACTTTTTCAAAAATTAACAAATAAAAATAATATTTTCTTGTATTGAAACCTTAGATATTTCCCTTTCATTTGATATAATTTTTTTTGAAAATCTAACACTTATTCTGTTCACTGGGGGGATTTAAAATAGTAACTTTTTTACAAAAATGAACTTTTTCAACTTAATTTTTGAAAATGTTCCGGAAATACTGCGTCCTTCAAACATATATAAAATTAAAGCTTATTTTATGTACTACAAAATGAAAAAAAAAAATTTGTCCCGACGACCTATCTTTTATACGCAAATGGCTGCCGTATTCAAAAATATGCTATTTTTGTATTCAAATTATGGGTTTTGTATTTTATTTTAATAGAAGTTGATGTTAATTTTGCAATTATCCATCAATTTTTTAAAATTAAACACTATCTACAGATTTGCATCGAAGCGTTTCTTATGATAGTGATTTTAATCACTGTCAGATTAAATCTATCTGGACCCAACTATGCAATGTCTCCACTATGCCGCGACCCCACTGTGCTACCGTTTATTTTATAATGCTTATATTATAAAAACGGTTGTAGATTTTTGTAATATATAAAATTGGGAATATTTGATGTATTTTCTACTTTAAAATTTCGAGAGGGGTTAAACCCCTAAACTCCCTCCTGTTTACGGGCCTGTTATATAAGCATTATAATTAAGCTATAGTCCTACATAAATTATAAAAAATATAAATAGAGTGTTTAGTAAATAAGAAAACAGATTTCTATTGTTATTATTGTTTGTAACAATTGATTTGTTTCGTTACTTACTAAACTAACCTATAATAATAAGAGTACATACATTTACAAAAAAATAATTATAGCTAATTATTATTTAATTTCAACCTTTTTTATTCTTTTTTAAGAAGTTTATTTTTATGGTTATATTGAAGTATCACTAAACCTAAAATTGGGTTCTACATAATTCTCAAAAAAAATTAAATTTGTAAAATACATAAACAAATTAAATTTATATTTTTTTAATTATATTTGTTAAATACATAGTTTACATTTACAATAAACTAATTTTTTTAAATTTCATAACAGTTGAATAGTTAGGTGAAAAATAAAATAAAAACATTCTCCAAATCCATTTATTATACTAAAAAAATTGTATTAAAATATATACATATAATGCGCTCTATAACAACAATATTGTGTAATCATCATTGATAATATAAAATTATAATAGATGGCGTTAATATCATTATATATCATTGAAATACAGAAACAATACATTATTACAGTTAATTTCCAGAAGCCGTATGGTATCCCAAATACTAAATATTGTGCTCCTTACATAAATAAAGTATGTAAGTATGTTTCACTATCATAGTGAAACTTGAAAAATGATCCTAATAATGAATTAATTTTATGAATCAAAACAGTAAAACGATATTTTTATTAAGCGTAGTTAAGAAGAAATGTACGATTTTTAAAAAATATTCACTGTCAACTATTTGTAGAATATTGTTCATTATTTAAAACAATAATAATTTATTTCGCAAATAACATTATTTTCTGTGTCAAAAAAATTTATAATTTACCAATAAAAAATTTATTTGTTAATTGTATGACTAAATATGTTACATCTATTTATACTATTCAATAATCTTGGGAACTAGTTAATACTTTGTTACTTGAGAAAGATTCTTACACAAAACGAAATGATTGCAAACATCTAGATTACTTCAAAGATATTATTTTAATAAAAAAGATACAATTTAAATATAAAAGTATTTTTATTAAAAAGACTTTTAGTATGATGTAGAAATAAAATATGAATAACAAAAAAATTCAATTATTTTTCATAACCTTTTGTAAAGTTTTAAAATCATAAAATAAAATTTTAAAAATTAGCCAGTAATAATATAAGAAAATCAATACATTTTAAATCTATATAGTGATAACTTGTTATAACTTATATCAAAAATTACTCTTATTAAAATTATACAATAAGAAACATTTTATTTTTATATTTGCATGTAGATATTTTCAAAAAATATTGAACATTTAAAGTATAATTTTTTAGAAAATTTAATTTTTGTTTATTAATATTTTTTGTTATAATAATTATTAAAGCTGTATTCTTGTTCATATAAAAAAATATGGCTATTTTTGTAGAGTAAATAAGAAATAAAAAACCTATGACAAAGTGATTCATTTAAGTTAATATGACGTCACTTTATGGATTTATGACTTTTCGCTACTTTTGACTAACTTATCTTAGTGACATCGTTTATATCCTTAAAAATTTATCTAATAAAAATAAACTATTAGTTTTCATTTACAATAATATATTAACCCTACTATTGTCTTACTGCACATTTTCATAAAGTGCAAAAAAGATTTTATTTATTTATTAGGTGTGTATTTTATGTATGGCGCATTTAATTAGTCGATAATTTTAATAAATGGATCATTATACGTAAATAATCTTTTTGGAAATTTATAATTTTTTGTTATTATTGTAATTTTAAGAATAAAAAAAAAATTTTTCACTTAATATTTTATATACTCCTCTTTTCTCATTAAATTGAAAAAAAACAGATTTTAACGATAAAAAAAAAATTGCGCGTTACCATTTTAATCTTATATAAGCTAGATTACGTAAAACTAAATCTTAGACAAGTTTTTCTAGGAATACTGAAGAAAATTTTATTAATCTATATGACTAGTTATTATTATTATTTCAATTATATTTGCCTGACATTTTATGTAAACTATTTAAGTTCACAAATACTTCTATAAAAAACTGCTAAAATATTAATTCAAAATTTGTATTAATATATTTAAATCAATATTCAATACGTAATATAAACGTATATGCTATTAAAAACCACAATATAAATTAAATTTTGTAATTTTTCATTCTGTTGTCAATGTAAACAAAAGTAAACATGAAATTTATGATTTAAATTTTTTACGTTTAATAAAAATTACAGCAAAAAATTAACAAATTTGTTAATGAAAATATCTGCCGATAATTTGATAATGAATTAATATTGTGTAATAAATTATCGAAATTAAATATTAATAAACATTTTTCTAAAATAAATTTTATTAAAACAATAGTGAGTTAAAAATTGTTCGAAAAAAATTAATGAAAATATAAAACATGAAATTGATCTTAAGCAAATTTTGGTTTTTTTTTTATTGGGAACCATTTAGAGCCAAGACAATGTTGCCAATTGATAAACTTACATATATTTTAAGTGGTTCTCACCTCAAATAGCTAGCATTTGGCGATAGGATTAAAACTACAGAAAATGGTGGCTATGTAGCTCGAAATGTGGTACCACCAACACGATTTGCCATGCCATATGATGGAATGATGTACGTTGCCATTCCAAAATATCGAACTGGAGTTCCATTCACGTTAGGAGTAATCGAATACGATCCATGTTTAAGCACTATTCTAGCCAATTATAGCACCATATCCGTGTGCGACTGCTCATCAATCCCAAAGTGTGAATAATCAAACATTGGTTAACGTGGTCGATGTTTACTTAGACGACGCTAAGTTTCTTTGGGCACTAGATGTAGGCAAATTAGACTTATTAGATAAACCGTTTGCTGTTCGATCATCTATGATCTTCGCCTTTGATATAGAAGTGATGAGGCGAGTTCACCTATTTGAAAATCAGTTAAACATAACTATTTGCTAACCATCAAGAAACTATTTTATTGTTAAAAATAAAAAAAATTATACTTTTTATTATGTTTATTATATAGTTTTGATTTAATGAAAACTATATGATACATAATAAGACAATGTTCAAATAACATCTACTAATCTTTAATAAATGCCTATACAATAAAGTTTAAAGTGTTTATACCTCCGGTACCATGTAGTAACCAAGACGTTTTGTACATAACCTTAACCCACGTACTTTTTATGAGTATGAGTACCTTTTAAATCGTGATGCGTATGGATTGGTTACTGGACGAGACCAAAGAGATTTTCAACAACGGTTATATGTTACATATTTGTCTTGTTGTCAGATATACTACATACCCGTTTACGAGTTGGACGATGTCGAAGTAACTTATAGCTTGTCTGCTGTTGGTATAGGTCGGAAACCATGCAAAATGTATTTGCTAAGGACAGATTGCGACTCTACAATCTACTTTCGTCCCGGTGAAACCAGACATTTGGAGTTGGATATTAGCACGTTGTTCATTGAAGAAAATCTTAAGTAAATTATCAATAAATTTAGTGGGTATCTGATAAAAAGTAACTGAAACAACTAAAAATGGTTTTATTATATGTAGTAGTTATAAAGACTAAAGTAAAGATTTACAGATTTTATAATTTCGTAGATTTGTGCTAAGTGGACTAGTTAGAATACCGTTAATGGTCGAAAAAGGTTTTCGAGGTTATCAATGGCCTTTGTATAACAAAACAGTGGATTTAAACATGTGAATCGTCACAGCAATAAGTATACTGCAAAACAACTTTTCTTTAATATACAAGTTCAAACAAAATTAAAAAATGTATAATGTGAAAAGTTACTGTGACATTAATATTTTGAACATAATTATTAACTTATTATCTATTATGATCGCATCCAGCACAGATCATACATTGAGAACTCTAATAATGTTATTTTTGCTATAAAATACTGAATATTTTTACTCGCATATTTCATCTATCAATATTTCTGTAATGTTCATTGTCAATATTATTTTTATTAAATAAAAATTATGTTGTTATATTATACAGCGTTTGACCTAATTTGACCAAAATCATATAGATACTTTGATATGAAAAAATAATTATTAATATCTCATGTTATTGCAATGTCATGGTTTTTTTAACACAAAAATAAACATAAATACGAATATTATACGGAGATTTAAATCTCTATTTCAAAAGATTTGATATTCATTGATTCAAATTCAATATATGTACATTGTCATTTCTACATTGCACCCTTCTTCCATCAATCATATGTTTTGAGTTTAATGTCCAATAAAAAGAGCAACGAATTTCTTTGAAGTTGGTTTTGTTTATGTATTTGTAAATGTCATCTTGAGTTGTTTATGTAACTATGGCTATTATAAAGTTTACTTATTACTAAGAGAGACTAATCTCAAGAAAATATTAGAACTATTTAGAAAAAAATATATAAAAAAAGTTACAGAGTTTAAACGAGCAATATAACGTCTTAAAACAGAAATAAAAATAATAATTAAATATAAACGGACAAAAATGTAAAAAATATTCATAGTTTAGTCAAGAGCACGTCGTGACTCTATGTGTAAGAATTATAATTCTATTGCAATGTGTTTTAGAAGTTTTCCAATTATCTCAACCAAAAGCAGTAGCTAATAAAAAGATAGGATATTAAATGAAAATTTTTAATCAATATATTTACGTTTCATATATAAAATAGATGGTATTATACATACTATATTATATAAAAATATATTTATTTAATTAAATTAAAAATAAGTGTAAGTTTAGAGGTAAATTAAACAGAATTTAGAACTTCATAGCATTAATTAGTTGTTTTAAATTTTTACACTAAATACACGTCATAAAATATATAACAAAGCTGTCAATAACAGTAATTATATAAGTGAACAAGTGCTCAAATAATTTAAATAATATTTGTTTTCCGCGTATGCGATAATACTTAATTGAAATTTAATTAATATTACTTAATTGAAAATTACAAAAATAAGGTAATTAATTAATTAATTAAAGACCACCTGTAGAGCATTTATAAGTGGCATGTTTATTTTAACATTCTAAATGGTAGTATAAATATGAAAAACCGAAGTCTGTCAAATGGTTAACACTTTTTTAGCATAAATTCATAAGTATTTCATTGCAAAACGTTAAAATGGCATTCTCTGGTCAAATAAACAACATAATAGTGATATCATTTTTGGCTCTTTATTTAATACAAGTATGTAAAACCGTATTACGCATTATGTTTATAAGCACAATTATTTTATAAAGGCATTATTAAAATCTAAATTTTGTCAATGTGTTATAAGTTTATTATATAAGTTATTACTTTATTGCAATAATTTAAAATGAAAACACATTTTATTGTTACAATAAATAATACAATCAAAAAATTGTTTTTCAATGTTAATAGAGTTTAATGAATACACTATGTATATAACTTGTGGTTTTGTTTCGTAAATAATACGTTAGTTAAAGTAATTTTCAAAACTTAAACAGCATTCATGATTTGCCATAAAAATTAAAAATAAATATAAGTTCTGTTCCTAAAGGACTATCATTGGTTACCATATAGAGAAATACTATTCCATATTTTTCTTATTAATACAACTAAAAACGAGAGTTATTTTATAATCAAATTTTAATTGCAACTCTTTATAATCCAATAGTATTAAAAAATTTAAATCGCAAAATATTTATCTTTTGATCTTATTTAAACTTTCTGAGTGTATAAAAATATTTTTTTATTTTATTCAAAAAGGAACACCTGTTGCATCTCTCTAATTACACCTATAATTATATAAAATAAGAACATATACTTCAGTACATACATTTTTATTACTTTTTTGTTGTACTAATTTAGTTTTAGTAATTCACATAAAAGTTAAATTATTTTTTCATATAATTACTTAAAATGAATAAAAAAACCATTTAATAATTTCAAATAAATTAGTATTTTTAATGTCCCCCATATATATATTTTTTAAAAGTCTAAATAATCATCCAAGATGTTCATTAGGTTCAGACCTTTAGTCTCAACATTAAACACTAAAATCCACAAAGTTAAATTTATTAATTATTTATAAACCAATTAATAGTTATATTTTAGAATTGTAAATATGTATATGTAAACTTAAATTGTAATAAAAATTATTTTATAAGCTAATACCTAGCTTCTTTCTGAAGATTTAGACAATAAAAAAAAACGTTATTACATAGAATTAAATAAACACTTAACAACTACCAGGAAAATAAACGATAATCTTTATGAAGTTTATTTATTATTAACAAACATTTTATTTTTAGATAGTTTTTTTTTTTTAAATTATTCATTATTTAAAAATTAAAACTTTATTTAATTATTATTTTTTTAGTAAGCATTTTATCATAAATACTAAAATGTGTAGGTTAGTTTTTCACAACCAATGCTTTCAGTCAGAGATACAGATTCAACCGGTACTACCAGCAACACAGCTGGATCGATGCTAAAAAAAGGAGGTTCGGTATTAAAAACTGTAGGTACAGAAGTATCAACAGGAACTGAAGATTTGCTAAAAGGAGTTGGTCGAGGTACTCTTGCAGTAGGAGGTTTAGGAGTCTCAACTATAAATGGAGTTAGCGGAGCAGCTTCGGCTGTAACTGGAAAATTGTCAGACGCCGTTTCAAGTATCGATAATTACATGTCAGACATACCAGTCCTTAGGAAAGCTACCAGTGGTCTTAGCAGTGCATTAAAAGAATTTGCAAATTCTTTTAAATCTATTTCTGATTTCTCGAGGAAACAACGAACTGAATCGGTGAATAATTTGAGAACTATGCTTAACTCCAGTACGTCTGGTTCTAGCACAACAGCAGCAGCTGCGTAGGAATCATATTAGTCAGTCATTGCATCAAAAATCTTTTTTTGTATTGCATTATTATTGTTATTATAATTCTCAAATTTTTATTAAAATGATTTCCTATCAAAGACTACAAGGAAAAATGACAATGATTATTTACTTTTTTCTACTACACATTCCACATCAACAACAATTACAAATTAAAAGATACAATTAACCATATTGATACTATTATAACATTATTATATTTTTAACTAAATTTAAACTAATTCGAATATAAATTTAACAGGTTTACTATATGAATATAACTATGAACAAAGTTTTTTTATTATTTAGTTTTGAGATATCTCTTATTTAAAGTAACACCCATGAAATAGCATTCAAATAAAATAAATCATCCAAAAAAGAAACTATGATTACACGTGTAAGTTTTTTATTGGGATAAAAATACGTTTAAATTATAACAATTGATAATTTCAATTATTTTAATTCACAACCATTACCACACTTAAATAATAATTTTGAGAACTGAGAGGCACGTACGATCTTTATCCAAGTTCTTAAAAGAAAAAAAAATACAAAACCTAAAATAAAATTATAAATGTATAGAACATACTTTGTACTCATACTACTAAATTAATATTTTCCCAAAGGCAAATAACAAAATAATAAAACAATCTATTTATTAGTTGTATATTTTAAAAAATTATGTTTATGAATAATATTTGATGGTGAATATCCACAACTTAATTACTTAATAACTTAAAAAAATTTTAAAGTTTTAGCTATATAACAATTTTTTGTAATATAATAATTGTATTTTCTAGTTATTTTTTAATAATTAGACAGGGGACAACGTTTAAACATAAAGGAAACGCCAAAATGTATCCTTAATAGTATTTGAGTTATCATAATGCAATAGTGGTCATCCGCTAAACCATTCAGATATCATCAGCTCCAAAAAAATATATCTTATGTGATATAATGCGTATAACTATCTCGACAGTATATTAAAGTATTGTCATTTTCATTGAATGACAAACGCAACAAATACGTCGGATTTATTTTACAAAATAAAGGACTCCGTTAAGCATCTGTTGTGTTTATTTACACGGTTAGTAAGTACATAAGTAGGTCTCCCATTAATCATAACAGTAACTACAACAATAACTAATATGTTCTATAATAGAATTATTATTATCCAGCTGGTCGTATTACATTGATATAGATACAACGAGGGTCTAATCTTAACGTAAATCGTTACACAGTTCATCTTTTGACCATTCGCGGTTATTAGTAAGGCCATGCGTGTCCAGTAAGTACAGCAAGTACCATACAATAGCCTATAAAATAACAATACAGTGATAATTTTATCACTGTAATTATATTTCTTTCTATTAGTTGTGGTTAATAATATATTCTTGTTAATAGCAAAACTATTTAAAAAATAATAATAAGTGATATGATATGTAAATTATCTTATTACAATAAGAAAATTCTCGAGCTGTCAATGTGAACTAAAATACTGTTGAACAGGTTTTTGTTGAAAAAAACTTCCTCGCTAGATATTATTATCGAGTCAGTGTACATAGCTCCTAATTTTTATAATATAGTCAGTTTTAATGTTATTTATTTATTGCATGTAAAATATATTTTAGAGTATAACTCTGTCATGTGAAAACTTTATTTCTAGGACTACAAAATAATATTGAATAATGTACAAAATAATTTATAAGGTTTATGGCATAAAGTTGCAACATACAACCTATACCGTATGTTTCATATGACTCTTCCCTTTAAAATATTTGCGTTGAAAATTAATTAGAATTTAACGCCGCTAAATTTAAAATAAATATATAAAATATTTTCTTTGAACTATTTCGTCAGTTTTTCGAATTTGTTTGACATAAAAATTCGAATAAAAACTTCTCTTATTCAAATATAATACCTAAAATAACTTTCAATATAAATCATAAATAAAAATATTTTTCAACTTAATCCTTTGAGGCACATTTCTATAAATATTATAATTTATTCTAAAATTTTTTAGGGTTAGAGTAAATAAAATCCCTTCTATAATATCCTTTTTCAAATAAATTTAATTGATTTTTTGTAGAGGTATATACTATATACGTAAATAATTCACGTGCACAGTATATTAATTATGTAACTTACCATTTAAAAAATAAAGTTGGCACCGCTTTAAATTGTAAAGGATGATCCTAAATAGTAATTATTGGCTGATAAATCAAGAATTATATGCAACTAAAAGAAATAAAAAAAAAATTATTTTTCCAATATTGTATTTATTTTGCGAGTAATCAAGTGGTTTATGGTAAGCCAATCACTTTGTATAATAAAGTAAAAATAGCTAATTATTATCTATTTTTACTCTATTAAGAAAAAAAAACATTGAAAATCGTTACGTTAGTAGTCAATACTCACATTCAATTTTCCTAACTGGTTGAATTTTTTAAAATTTATAAAATACTTATTAATTAATTTAAACACAAAATATTTATAAAAAGAATCCATAATTTCTAATTAACGGTATTGTAAATTAAAATTATATTATTAGATCAAACATAATTCAAACGAAAAAGAATCCCAAACACTTCATGACTTTTTTGTGACCGTATGCCGCACAATATTAAAAATCATTCTGTCTACCTGCTCACTACTGTTTGTGTATCTTTTTACACATCAAATAACTCCAACTTCTGAGAGTATACAAGAATTGTTTCGATTAACAGCGACAAAAAGGCAATAGACCACACATCACGGTAAAACAGCAATGCAATTATGGTGTTTCTTGTCCACTCTGAACACATGCATAATATAATATGATGCTGGCACAGCAACAATAAGAATATTTCTACATAATACGTATGCATTAATAATCTGAACGCTTTTAAAAGACCGACAGTATATAAGGCTAACTGTATTCTCTTTGAGTGTTTCGTGTTGTTATAAGACTAGTGTGGACGTTCGTAAAAATATTTAGATAAAGAAAATTATTTCCGCGGGTTTCTCGATCATGTGTTTGTTTTATTTAATCCGCTTGACTAAGCGTTTTTATTGGATTCTTGTGTGTTTTGCCGTCGCAAAACACATATACACGCGTAATGTAATCAGGCGTATACGTGCGAGTGTATCCATATACACTCGAATACAATGATTATCTTTTAAAGGGGTCGGTTACAATATCAACATATAATAACATTATTGTATAAAAATATAAACAAGATCGGTTTTATGTACAGGGACCTATTGTGATGTACCTCTGACCACTGTGGTTGCTACATTACGACCGCAACACAGTGGCTCCTCATGCTCCGCCTATAACATGGTCGTTAACGTCACTACAGTATGGGGTACATATATTCGTCGGCAGTAGCCCATATTATAACGCTTCCGTAAACATCCATTATAATATATTAAACTAGTATCTACAACAATTGACCCGATTGATGATAACAATCTGCAGCTTGCTTGCTCGTAGAGATCATTTGAATACTATTATTTATCGCATATGATAAATAGATGATAATGAGAAATTTATTTTGTGATGTAATACGAGTTTTACATCTAGCAGCCATTTTAGTATTAATTCATAATAAAAAATAACATTAGTTGCATTTTCAACAATAAACCTTTTCTAATTTGAATTTTGAACTAAATACATTAATACTATTAATATGTATACGAAACGAATCGTAATTAATTTTTGGAATATTAAATGAGATCAAAAATGAAAACTGTAATTTTTGAGTTTTTTTAGATATATAGTAGTTTAGTCGCCAATAAAAGCAGAAATAATAGGCTATTGAAGTTTTAAACATATGATTATAATAAATTAAGCCTTTTTGTTTTAAACTTTCTTTTGTATACTTGGCACAATATTTTGTTTTATATCAGTTGATTAAATAAATTGAAATAAGTTCATACATTTTAACATAATAAAATTTTTTTCCTCAACACTCGTGTAATATTTGTCATAGCACTATTTGTAACCTAATATACAAAAAATATTAAACATTTTTATTATAATACTTTAATATTCTTTGTCGATTATAATATATTATTAAATCCTGTATGAGCTTATATTTCAATAGTATATTTTTTATGAAATATACAAGGAGGATTTCTACTTATTACCACATCTAAATAATGTATAAATCGTTAATGGTGTAAATATTTAACAGTAATAAATTAAGAATGATGCTTTAGTCAATTTTCCTACTTAAAAATTGTTTTTAGTAAAAGTTAAGGATTTCAAGAGTACAATATTAGACCTACAAATCGTAATAGTTAGAAAATAGTAAGAGATTAGCTCTAGATTAGGAAAATTTACTTTAGATAAAGCTTAAAATATTTTATTTCATCATAGGTCTTGTTAGATTGAAACTCGTGTTTCCATTTTGTATTTGCTTTTGTCAAATTTATTTCATCATTTTATGTAAACGTCACTGTTATTTTATTTTTAAATTAAACGTTTTAAAATATATGTAATGAGACAATAATTGTATAAATCGTGTATTTATCATGAGATTGAAAGTTTTCAATCATTGGGTTAGCTAACCTAATACCGAATAACACGTTTTTAACATTAAATTTTGTTGGAGTTTTACATACAAAATAATAATTATATTTTGAATTTTTTTAAAGAAATTAATCATTTACACTTATTTTTATTATTCTTTACAAATTTGTACTAACATCTTAAAGAGTATTTCAGGAAAGCTGTAAAGAACAAAAATTAAGAAAGAACAGATCTACAATTTTTTGTGAAATTTTAATATTTACATTTATTAAAGAAAAATAAATTTCTAGGCATCAAAATACCTTTAAAATTATTTTATTACATCAAAATAAATATTATTTGTATACCTAAGTATAAAATTTATAACGTCTACTCAGTGGCGTACTACTACAAGTCTAGTCTTTCTATCTACGGATAGAAGGAGCCCATGGTGTCTGGACTCCAGACTCTACGGGGTGAGTAGTGGGAGAGTCACTCCCACTTTTCTACATTCCTATAGCTATCTATACTCGCAAATAGTTTTTATACAGATAGAATAGCAAGAAATTAGATTTCTATATACGCCACTGCATTTGCCGAAAAATATACTAGTATTGTTTCAATATTAAGCACTATAATTATATTATTTCACATGGTATTAAATATTCATGTAAGAGAATCACTCGACTGGAAAACCATTTAATAACTATTTTCGGTAGTTTATTCTGTTTTTACTGACAGGAGTAATAATCAAATAATCTTGTAAAATAAAAAAAATTATAACATTAATTATAGTCAATGATTTCTTCATAAGAAACACCAGGTAGCCTGGACTTGACATACGATAATGTAATTTGAATATAAAATTATAATAATAACTGTGCAACTAAGCCTTTTACGTTGAAAAATCGCCGATCCGTTCATAACGCATGTTGAAGTGTTCGGTTAATAAACGGGCGGCGGTGATTCTTTGACCACATTATTGAGTCATTTGTTTGTTCATGCCGCTTTATAAAAACAACAAAGCAACAACTGTATATAAATTATTAATATACTAACAAACCATAAATTTAATTTAATTTTTCATAATTTTAAATTAAGAAAAAGAAAACCATTAAAACTCGTTTTATTTTTAAAGACATCAGTTATTTGAGCAAATTGCTATTCTAAAAAGAATGATTTTTTTTACATAAAAACCTGTTACATATGTACAATTAATAGTAACAATACCTTTCCAAAAACTAAAATAAATATTTGATATATATATGGAAATCTATTAATGTATGGAGTATTGACAATCATTTTGATAGAATTGAGCAGCAATTAGATCAAAAATATACTTCATTAAAACTATTAAATCAAATGTTATTATTTTCTTTAAATATTAGATACGGTATCATACTCAAAAATTATATCATCATTAATTTTAGTTTAAATTTAAGTTTATGTATTAATTATGTTTTATACAATTTTATCTACAATAAATGATACCATTAAAAATAAGTTTTTAATGGTATAATTTTCTTATAAATATCTTTATGATCATTTAGGCAATAATTTGAAAAACTCATAACGTCATCAATATGTTAGGACGGCAAGAACACAATCTCAAGATTATATTAAAAAAACGCTCAAAATACTTATTTCTAAAAAAAATTTTCATATATAACAAATAAGTATTTATAGTTTTACTTTTATGGTAATAAAATTAATTAATAATAATAAAGTTGATTAGCCCGTTCGATTTCAATCACCATTAATCTCAAATCAATATTTACTAGAATTCATGAAATTTGAAAATGTTGACCTAATTATACTAAAAATATGCATTGAGTATAACTTATTGCTTCTTAAGACTTCGATTTAATTTTTAATAATCACTAGAAATATCAACCAAACCAAGTAAAACAAACAATACTCTATATGTACAATTACTGTATAAAAAACTTATTTTATTAATATAATTAAACGTCACTACTATATTTTAACTTAGTTTTTTTTTCTACATTTTGCATGTTAACTAAATAAAATAATTTGGATTCGCATAATAGTATTTCATAAGTAATGTGTCTTAATAAGATATTATTAATATATCGTTTTCAAAAACATGTCCAATTTATAAAAACACGTAATTATAGAATTTTTTTATTGCTGTATTTTAGGGGTGATATTAATATTATAAACATAAATTTCTTTGGTATACGCTAAATAAAACAATATGGTTGGCAACTCATTTTTTCTATTTTATGCATTTTAGTCCCTTTTTTAAGTATATTTACTATATTAGTGTTATTATAATAATACACATTAAAGGTATACTGTAAGATAAACTGTGCTCCTTAATGTAGTGATAGTATAGATGATCAAACCAGTTTATAGTCATCATGGCTTTAGAACTGGATTGAGATGCGGCAACAAGTTATTAGAAAATTTTCACTTAATTAACCCGGTCGCGTACACGGTAGTAGTGGTTACCACTTTACCTACAACATAATGGATAAATACTGCTCCTACCCTTCTTCAGAATACAAACAGACCTCGCCCCTTCTCTCCCTGATCGTTCATCGTGAATGGTGTAGCAAAAATAGTCTTGTATACACATTATTATTATTATTTAGTCATCACATAATGCGGTCATGGGGTTTTTCTTTATTCGGGATCATGACAATAAACCAGCATCAGTTGCTGTTTAGATGGTGATCTTTCAACACCAAAATTCGATATCATAACCATTTTAGAAAATATATAAAGACTGTGGAAGACGAAGGATTGATTTTATAATTTTATAAGGCGAGAACTGGCAATTTTAAGGTAATATTAAAAAATATTTATTCATGAATAACATATTGAAAATTTTTCAATAAAAAAGTATATTTATTAAAAATAAAATACTAAAATGAAACTCTTAAATTGTTTTAAATCAAATTTTAACATACTTAGATAGAACTCCAGATATCTTATTTGACTAGGCAATGCATTTTATACCTATCCCGTACCGTTTACAATATACTATTGTTGTATCAATTATATCTGAAATACCATAGCAGCAGTTATACAGGATGTTTAAATCAATAAATACTTTAATTATACACCAAAATTGCAGAAATAATATTTGCAAATAATTTTACATGTAAAAAAAACATGTATTTTTTATTAAAATATTTTATAGGATAAGTAGATAAAATTTAAACTATCCAAATATATTTTGTTTGATTTACACTTGTGGATAAGATTGATCGAGAATACAAAATCTTTATAAAAAAATCGGTGGAGTCAAAAGAATACGCTTTCATTTTGCCTGTAAAAGTATATGCCAATTGAGCACAGGTTTAGTTGATAATCATATAAGCCAAAAGAGCAAATTTTATTATCAAGCATTATTTTATCTATAAATAATTTTAGTTATTATAAAGAAAAATGTCAACAGATTTTTTTTTTTTTTATAATTTACCAATTCCTGAATTATTTGAACCATATTATTAATCTTTAAGAAATTTGATTGGATTTTCACTACCAAGCTTGGTGTAAGTAAAATTTACAATCTTTTAACTTTATACTTGGGAAAACTGTGAAAACGGCCCTACGTTTTGCTATCTCAAGATCTAATATTACAAGTTCCAAATTATATCCAATACTACATAATATTTTAATAAATATAATAAATATTTCAATAAATATAATAAATATTTTCACATTGCTATGCATATATCCGCAGTTTTTAAAGAAATATGAAAAGTTACTAATGAAGTATAAAAACCATTTATATGACAATGTATTGTGTATTGTTGATAAAAATACTTAAAACAATAATTAAATGTGTCCATCTGATATATTTATAATCGATTCAAACTTAGATTTATAAATGGTACTGTTCTATACGGTTTAACAAAGAAAAAAACAGTATTTTTTTTTATTTTAAATTGAATGCTTTTGATATGTGCCCCAAAAAAAATATTATCGAGTAATTTTTTCTTTTTTTTTTACCTTGGTCTATTACTTATTATTACATTTTATTTAAACAATTAATATGTTTAAGAAATTTAATTTAAAGTCTGGTTAAGAATTTATAAGTACATAACGGATAATTTTAAGATATTCTTTGCTAATTATAATAAAATGATTGACATAAAAAAAGACATCATTTTCTTATTTTCTATTAATTTAAAAAATTTAAACTTAAATATTATGAAAATGTATATATATATATATACAGGGCTCATTAGCCTGAATAATGGCCCAGTCGGTTCAGGCTGTAGTTCTACTTATTTGTTTAAAGGTAACTGTAAAACATAACATTTAAACATATTATAACAGACAAATATATTATTTTTATTTACAAAGTCTAAATTAATATCAAGTAAATAATAGTCGTGATCATAATTTAATGGTAAAATAGCTCTTTCGAATAACATACACGCTAAAATAATAAATGCAGAAATTATTTGCCATAAGTCAAAAAATATGTAATAAAACAATAACTTAAGGCTAAACAAGAAAAATATCCCATTGTGCACGTCAGCGATAAAAGTAGACTTTACAAATAAAAATATAGGTTGTTTTTTGTTTAAAGCAATACAGTGATGACAATTGATGACTTAATTAATCAACAGACAAAATTCTAAGTAAAATAAAAATAATTATATACATTGTTATAATTGATAGTTTGTTAATTAGAAGCCTAATTAACACACACACATATATATATACTGTTTCTGATGTTAAACTTTTTGTAAAAATATATAAAAATTATTCCATTTACTAGAACTTAAGCATATTATATCAATTTTTTACAATAAATTTTTATGATTTTTTGATAACTATTTTTTAATACTTCACCAAAATTTTTTAATGTTATGTGGCGTTTTTGAGTAATTATTGAGGGTATTCAAATCGGATGAGAATCAACTTGAAAATTTTGTTAATGATATAAAAATTTAAACAAACAATGTTGTATAAATCTCTCAAATATATCTTTTATGTATTTTGCAAATACCAAGTTATTGAAATCAATAAGCTTATTTTTATAATTAATCGAAGTCATATAAAATAGAAGTCTAAAACTCCCATAATTTTCTCATAAAACATAGTAGGTAACAATAAAAATGAACTGAATTTTATATAAAAACATATGAAAGTTAAGTTTTTAAAATAAAGTAACAGGTGTCTATTGAAATGTTGTCATATTTAGACTATATTTGGAGTCCTAATAATAAATTAATTATATACATTTTACGTCCGTTGATAATTATTTATTACTTATTATTGTTAAAATTTTATACACGAAAAATATTTTTTTTAAAGAGATTTGAGTATTTGAAAATTCATGGTCATCTAATATTTATTAGATAAATTAAATATTCAAATATTTCATTTTATTTTAATATTTCATTTTAACTAATAATACTATTTATGGTAACAAATTTAGAGTAAAAAAAAAATCGTTTTCAGTTAAGAATTATATAAAAATAACCCTCTAAGTAATTATTTGTTAAGGTCTGCATGTGTTATTCGAATTTCAAAATACCTATATTTGATAAATATTAATGGCATATTTATCGAAAATATATTATATTATTACGATACAACTATATGTACATTTTTAAATATAATAAATAATAAAATGACTTTTAATTTAAAACGATTCTTTTCTAAACATTTGATTTTCAATAAATACCAATTTAATAAGAAGTCAGGGTTTTAATTTACCTTTTTTCTTCTTCGACTTCACTCGTGTTTTCAAGAGTTTATACAATCGTCTGTTAGCTTAATATTTTTATCAATTATTGTGAAAAATAAATGAAAATTTGCTTTAATGTTATTTATATTACTAGAAACGCTAATAATATTTAAAAAAATTCTAATAGAGTAAAAATTAAAACACTTAGTTAAAAGTGTTCACTATTTATTTATTTTTTATTCGTATTAAAGATATAGATTAACAAGTTCTAAATTTATTTTAAAAAATTACTCTATTTGATTTCTTGTAGTTAAAGTAAATAATGCGAGGAGTTCAAGAATCGATTATAAAAGATTCTACAAATTTTGCTAAACAAGCCGATGATGTTTCGGTATCCGATAATCAGAACTGTAAGCCAGTATTTTTGTTTAGTGTGGACTACATACTCAACACCGCTGGAAAGGGAAATAACAATGACGTGCATAAACAAGACCCTTATAATTTTGATTGGCTTTTTTGTACAAGATTTAAGCCACCAAAACTTGACAGTAAGTATTAAAAATTAACTAATAAAAATATAATTGTTCTAAATGATTTTTGTTATAATTAAAAGTTAAAAAATAAGCAATATAAGTACATAATAATATGTTTAATATACATGTGAAAAATATAAATTGTCTTACAGTTGGCTTGCACCTAATCATAATAACTATAATTGTTATTGGAACGTTTAAATTAATTTAAATTAACAGTATTTATTTTTATTTAATTCGAACTATTGTTGACTTATCTAGTTTTCAGTCCAAAATAGTTGACGTCTTTAATCTCAACTAATCCTTTTTACTTATATAAATGTTATAGGATTCCTGTCTAAAAATAGGTTTGTTTCTTATTAATAAATTTATATTTAATTATTAATATTTTATATGTATTTGGGATACCTAAACCAAAAAAGTAACATTTAATTGTTTTAAAGTTACTTACAATATGACTAATATATTTAAAAACCAGCAAAATTATTTTTTTTTTTACGTCAGTGGGGGAGATAAGATAACCAAAGTATACCGTGAAAAAGGAACAGCAGCGGACATATCTATGTATATCAGCATGCTGTTAGATCTACTATAACTAGATGGAGAAACTGGAAAGATATCCCAGTGTTGGAAAAGGGGTTGAATTGTAAGGTGCTGCAGGTTTGGGAGATCTCAGGGGACTGGGAGCGAACACCATAGCAAACATCGAGGATAGAGAAGACGGTGAATTGTCGTCTTGAAGGGTTTTTCACAGAATCCCTATCCTCTTTCTCTGACGAAATGAAGGGATGTATTCAAGATAAAGTCCGTATTATCTGTCTTATTTCTTCGTTCTATCTAGAGAACTTCCAAATTTTATAATGGCAATTTTTTTTTTTTAATTACATTCAGTAGAAGTAAATCTTTGAATATCAATTTTAAAAGTAATAAATACAAATATAAGAAAAAAAATTTAAATACACGTGTGTCATTATATGGAATATTACTCACCCATATTAAATTGACTTAGAACTAATACAAATAATATGTTGATATTTTATTTGCAAAAAAGTTACCTTCAGTCGATTAATATATAGTTTAATTTGCTTTTTCTGTTTTTCGATAAAACAGAATAGTAGTACTACATTTATTATTTGGAAACTAGTTGAAATAAAAATTTAAAAAACATAAAAATAGTCATTCATAAAATTGTTCGTTTATACTGCAAATAGTAAACATCTACTTAAGTACTATTACATATTTGTTGGTTGGTGTATAAAACGGAGTTTAACATATTCATATACATATTATTATTACACGGTTTTGAATGATCATAATGATTGTTTTTATAAATCAAAGGATCGAAAAAGAAAGACTCTCGACAAAAACAAAAACGTAGGCCAGGTCGTAATCCAAGAATACCTTTTACTGCTGAACAAGTATCAGTTTTGGAACATGAATTTAAACAAAATGCTTACTTAGGAGGAACTAATGATGTACATAGACTGTCTGAAATATTGCGACTATCAGAAAGTAGAGTAAGTAAATGATAAATTAACTACTAAAATTACTAGACTTCTTTAATTTAGATCTATTACAAATATAGTTTTGGTCATAAAACTAGGAATATTGTTTTTTGACCTATTATTTTATACTATGCGCCACAACTTATTTTATAACATTGTAAAACAGCTTATTAATTATGACAATGGGATAGACCATTGCCCCAATAAAAGTAACTAGTATAACCCTGCATAGGCTGATTCAATCCAATCCAAAGTTAAGTAGTGTTAAATTAGATAGGACTACAATTTTTTTTAATATTTGTATTGTAAAGCTGTTTCAAAAATAATGAAATTGAGTCAGATCAATGACATATATATATTTTTTTTCTTTTCTTTATTGAATAGAAACTATCAAAAGTATTTTGAAAAAATTGAACACCAAAAAAAAAAAATTTATATGATGTTGATAATTTTTGTTGAAATTGAAAAGCAAATCTATAAATCAAAATAAAATAGAATAATTTTACAAAAACATTATTCTCATAAACTTAATTTAAAAATGTCGATAAAAATCTAAAATAGTTAACTCTGTCTAATTCTAATTGATTCAAAAAATTTTCTTGAAAGTCATCTTTGTTTATCCTTATATAAACAAAGATGATATTTTTGAATATGCCTTATTTGAAAATTGGTAATGCCTTATACTAGGATTTGATGTTAAAGTCGATGATTGTCTAATTTATTAGTAAACACATAATACAATGTTCAAATATTTATACTAATTATTAATATTATTTTTAGATAAAAATATGGTTTCAAAATCGCCGAGCTAGAGAACGCAGAGATAATCTCAATGCTGACCATTTATTGTCATCAACGCCAAACAATACAATGAGTAATACAAATCATAAATCCATCCAATTGTCAATGATGTCTGCATTTAAACCCTTGAATTACACACCACCAACGTAAATTTCATTTAAGCTAAATATAAATAATACAATATTTTCCATGTATTTGATGCCAAAATTTTAATTTTGCAAAAATTAATTTAAATTTATTATTTAGTATAATTATTTTGTATAGTTTGTAAATAATGTAATTTATTGTTAATATTTAAAATTGGTGCCATAATGTTTATGTTTATAATAAAATGTATTTATAATAAAATGTATAAATTAATTTAAAAAAATATGTTTCTTAATACTAAGAAACATATTTGTATTTTTTCTGTGTACTATATGAGATTAAAAATAACCAAAATTAACAGAAAGTTACATAAAATAGATANTCTGTGTACTATATGAAATTAAAAATAACCAAAATTAACAGAAAGTTACATAAAATAGATAGAAAAAATTCCAATAATTGTTATTATACTTTAAAATTAATAAACACACAATTACAATAAAATTACTATAGAGAGTTTACTTTAAAACAATTTTTTTATCATAAAAAAATAATGTAGAAATGAAAAATACACGAAGTTACTACTAAAATATCACTTTTGAACTGAATTATTTTACATTTTCATAAATTACAACATTAAACAATATAATGTTAATAATTAATAATATTAAAAATAAAAGCAAAGAAAACTATGAAAAATCGAAATTTCTGTTGAAGTATGGTAAATAAGAAAGTCATAACATATTATACTACACCACATTAATGATTACACAAAAATATTACAACGACAATATTATTAACAACTGAGAAATGACTGATATATCAAGTCTGCAGCTAGTAAATGTTTTTACTTTTTTTTAAGAGTTTTTAAAATATTAATGTTATAATTATAACTATTATATTTTGCATTTTATGGCAGTTATTTTCTTACAACTATTTCATTCATAATCTTATTTTATTATTTTTTATAGGGTATCTGAAATGTAATATAAAAAACGACTATCATCTCCTTAATACAATCAATATCATTTTCCTGTTGCATTATCTATTAGGGGATTACTCTAGAATACTAGTGTATAATAGCAGCTAGATTCGGTTTGGTTACGTAAATAGTCGTATAAATGAGAAGTCTCATATTGCGGAATATACAGGGTGTTCAGTAAGTCAGGAAACGGGTATCTATTGTTCTCATTGTTACAAACAATGAGAACAATAGATACCCGTTTCCTGACTTACTGAACACCCTGTATATATATATATAGGTGTCCGTTAGCTAAAGAATTGGAATTTTTGTTAATTTGAAATTCGATCTTCTCATCTTTATAAATTACTCTACCATAAAAAAAATTAGTTCTAAAAAATTTGATCAACACTAACAAGTGCCACTAGAGAGTTGGTTAAAATTTGAACTCGAGGGATAATTTCTTAGTTTGAACGTATTTTTTTAAAATAATTTTGAAGATTACTAAAAAATTATAACTCGTATCGTTAAAATCAACACAACATTAAATAATATAACATAAATTAAATATCTAAAAATTGTGTATAAAAATATTATTACAAATTTATTTTAACAATTTTATTTTCATATAAAAATTTTCGTTTATCATACGACTAAATGTTTCATACATTAGTTATTTACAATAAAATTTACAAAATATTACATTCAGTAGAAAATTTTGTATCTGTAACTCTATTTGATACGTCGAACTTAGTCAAAAAAATCTAAGGATTAGTTACAATAAAAAATAATGATAATAACATTAACGTTTAAAATATACGTTAGCATTATACTTTAATTTCTATTATTAGATGTTATAAAATAGTTTGATATCAATTTAGTAGTTTTTAAAAATTGATAAAGTTATAGAAGCAATAATTGTAAATAAAGACCCGTACATTACATTCAGTGTATTTTTATACAGTCGTATAATAAAATGACATTATAAAATTTTATCAAATAGAATTTTTTCGAGTAAAACTGAACAAAAATTAATTCATTCAATGAAGAGCTAGATAATTTGTTCGATGTATCCCATTCAAATGCGTTGGAATTGATTTAAATGTTTGGAACCTAACTGTATATTAGGCTTTAATAGATTATGATTTCAAATAGGTTAAAAAAAATTAAGAATTTAATATGCTTACAATTATGAAATGAAAACAATTTTGAAGCAAAATTATTTTTGATCTTAAACGATAGCATTCTCCTTCATTATTTTCAATTAAGATCTTTAATAAAGTCATCCACCAGAGAAAGTTCACTTAAAGAGGTTTGTTATATTAATAACGAGGTTAGAGATAAAAAAATAAAATTTAAATTAAAAAATAAATGAGAAAAAGCAGAGCGATAATAGTACTTGCTAATCAACTATAATATAAAAACAATTTAATAGATCAAATTAAAAAACAAGTTCTGTGTGAAAACTACATCATTATAGGATAAATTGCAATAATTTTTTAAAAAGTTAAAACTATTAATGGATTAAAATAACAATTCATCAACTAACTCGATTTCAAATANTTATTATTAATCATTTGTTATAAAAAAAGTTAAAACTATTAATGGATTAAAATAACAATTCATCAACTAACTCGATTTCAAATAAAAGTTTTTAAGTAAGAACATTTCTAGGTGTTTTTAAATTTTAAAATTATCAAAAATTTAACTTATTATTAATTTTTTAAAATAGGTAATTTAAATTCGACACTGATGTTCATGTATAATAAATAAAATCAGCATTTATTTTCAACTAAAATAATTACTGCAACACCAATTATTATTTAGTTAAATAATTTAAAACAATGATTTTATTGATAAATTAAATGTTTTATTTATATTGAAATAATGATTTTACTACAAAATAACACTGATTTCACTAAAAGTTATTATAACATTTTAGATAAACAATAACTCAAAAATAAAACCCTATTTTGAATCAATCATGTATCATTTTAATGCCATGTCATTTAAGATTTGTATAGGTGGTATGACTTGCTGTACATACTGACCAAATACAACTAACTTCAGTATTAATAAGACCAAAGTTATGGTCTATTAATATATGTAAAAACAACTGAACAGAACAAAAAAACATGATTTTCTCTATTTTTTACTCAATGATACTAGAATTGAGAATTTTCATACACATTTTTGTTTGAAGCGTTATTTCAGTGGCATAACTTTTTGTAAATGCAAACTAAAAACAACACACTTCATATTTCATTTTTATTTTTTTTTATAATATTAAATAGTATATACAGAATTAATTGTAATTTAATAGTACGAACTAAATTCCAAAATATACAATTTAGATATTTTGATATTATTGTAGTAAAGTCATAAAATGATGTCTACTTAATTTAAAACAATATAAATATCTTCAAAATTATATAAAGAGTTAAATAATTAAACTTGATGTTGCAATAATTTATTCTTCTATGGCGTGATACTTACAAGAAAAAATGTATTAATAAAATTGACAATTATGAATTATTTTTTTAACAATGTCTTCAAGAATTTTTTTGCTAAGAACAAATATTAAAAGATTAAATGTAGGTAAATATATCTATAAAGATATAAAATGCTAGAAATTAATAGTTTTAGACTTGTCTTTAAATAAAAAAATGTTGAACAAGTACTATCATACTAATAGATTTTGAAGTAAATTATTATAAGTTTTACATACAGCTCTCATTGCTATCACTATAAGTTAATCAATGAATAAAAAATATAAGCCATGTGAATTTTCACATTCTTGTTATATAATCATTAAAAATAATTTGTATTGATTAACGATTGTTAATATCAATTAATAAGGAAATAATAATAAGGATGGTAGATACTTCTTGCATATGAATATTACTCAAATTTCCAATGAAAAAATAACAAAAAGTTCATAACCCTTTCAGTCTGATCTCACTGTTTTACTACTATCGTTACTCTCAACGATTCAACTCATATGGAAGAAGAAGTGATCAGTTGCATGCAAAATTTACATTATTAAAAAACAAGTTGTATTTATTCACTGAAAACATTATAGTAAATACTAATATTAAATAAAAATATAATTATAAAATATAAAAGGTTTAGAGTAAAGTATTTTGAGTACATTAACTATTAAGTAGGAACAAAAGAAAAACAGGCAACTATTAAAAATAAAATGTTAATTGAATGAATTAATATATCAATAGTCTATACGAAGCAAATTTACAGAGTTAGATCTTTATTTATACAAAAAAAGTTATTATTTATATTATTTTAACAAAAATTAAAATCAATTTGTTGTGTTGATTTATAATATAACTAATTGTTTATTATGCTATTTGTATAACGAACTGTTCCGGACAGATTATTCGTCCTTCACCTACATTAACAATTAAGAACTCTACTAGTGCCTGATCAGCACAAACGACCTTGCAGCTCAACTATCAGTAAGCGGCGCGCGGGTGTAAATAAACTGATTACACACTTTTCTTAAATTAAACTTTTTAAATAATTCTTAAATTAACTTTAATTAAAAAAAAAACGAAGGCAGTCCCCATTTTACCACACTTGCGGGAACTTACCTTTATTGATCTGGTGACTTAACTCGGGCAGTATTTTTGTGGTTACTAAATTAAATACGATTATTGTTTACTTATTATTATTATTAATTCGGGTTGTGTACACAATAAATCAATCACATTTTTATGAAAGAAAAAGGCTAAACATTTTTTATTATTATTGATATAAATAAAAAAAATTTTTTACTCAAAGATGTCCCATGGACATCTTATGCGCAGAGAAGATCCTGTAATTTGCCAAACCTGCGGAGAACCTGTCACAGTCAAGCACCTCCTTGTCCAATGTCGTAACCATATAGATACCAGAAAAAGATTAGAAATGCCTGATAACCTCTTTGAAGCCCTCAGCCCAACCCATGACAACACAATCAAAATAATCTCATTTCTTAAACTAATCGATATGTACAACTCAATTTAATATATTTGTATTTAACTAGTTTAAGAAATACTATGTATAATCATATATGTAACCTAATAATTTAATTTTGTTCAAGCTAATAACCTTAGAAGTTGAAGCTTAAAAAATAAAAATAAAAAAAAATTTTTTTAACAAAATTATAATTGTATCCTAAGTTATAAGCGTTATCAGTTAGGTCTGAGACACTGTATTTACTGTTATGAGCAAAACCATTATTTCATATTTTTTATATATATTTATTAAATTACTCGTAAAA